GAACGGCAAGAGTAATCATTCAGGACGTCCTGTACCACATCGAGTTTCTCGTGTTGACCACTTGTTCTCACGACTGTATACTTGGATGGGATTTTTCATCGCGCCACCATGCCGTAATCGACTGCGCACGCGTGCAGGTAGAATTTTCCGTGTTTTCTGATGCGCCATCTACCGACAATGAGCGCACTCACCTTGGCAAACTTGTTGTTGCTTGTGACATTGATGTTCCTCCTCTTAGTGCCATTGTTATCCCCGTCAATCGCACTGAATTGTCCGGCTCTATCGTTGTGCTTTCCTCATCTGACGTTTTCAGTCGCCGCCACGGTACGTCTCTGCCATACGCCGCTCTGACACTTCACCAAGATACTTCTGGAATTGTCGTTTGCAATCCTAGCTCATGCCCTCTCACCTTAAGAGCTCACAAAACACTGGGCTATGTTCTTCCTGTTGATGACTATGTTATTGTGCCTATTGAGTCCCATGACCCTGGCCAGCAACTTCAACTGAACGCTGTTACTCCTCTTTTTATGCGGGATGACTACTCCTTGGATATCTTCAATCGCTCTATCGACAGCAAGCTTCATCTGGATCAACGGGACCAGCTAATAACCCTTTTGCATGAATTCCGAGACTCATTCGACCTTCCTCAAAAGGCACTGAGTCAAACTAACACCGTCGCTCACACAATCTACACTGGAACGCATCCTCCTTTGTGGCAACGTCAATACAGCGTATCAACATAGGAACGAAGTGTAATTAGACAGCAGGTGGACGATATCCTTTAGCGCGGTGTCATCAAGCAATCTTCTAGCCCCAGGTTTTCACCTGTTGTGCTAGTGAAGAAAAAAAGACAGTTCGATTAGATTTTGTGTTGACTACCAGCGACTGAACAAAATTACACGAAACAATGTATCTTCCCCGCATCGACACTGCTATCGATTGCCTACAAGGTGCCGAACTCTTTTCTTCACTGGACTCGCGTTCAGATCACTAGCGGGTTCTGATGGCAGAGTGTGATCGTCCCAAAACAGCGTTCGTTACACCGGATGGCCTATACGAATTCACGGTTATGTCATCGTCTGTGCAATGCACCTGCAACATTTGAACGAATGATGGACAGCATTTTACGCGGCCTTAAAAGGCAGATATGCTTATGTTACCTTGATGATGTTATCATATTCTCTCCTGACTTTCCTATGCACGTCGACCGTCTATGCACGATTCTTCAGTGCTACTAAGGCGAACCTCCAGCTTAATCTGAAGACGTGCCACTTCGGGGCTCGCCAAATTACTATGCTTGGTCATGTTGTGTCAAAGGATGGAATTCGGCCCGACCCGGACAAACTTCGAGCCGCAGCCGACTTTCCGAAGTCGACTTCACTCACAGAACTTAGGAGCTTCATCGGCCTGTGCTCGTTTTTCGCCGTTTTGTCCACAACTTTGCATCAATAATATCCCCACTTACGCAACTACTGAACGGTCCAGCTAATCTTTCTCACTGGACCCCGGCACGTGACGAAGCCTTCTTTATACTGTGCCGCCTGCTTACGTCACTACCCATTCTACGCCATTACAACCCAAGTGCCCCCTCTGAAGTGCATACAGATGCCAGTGGCGTTGGTCTGGGAGTAGTACTCGCGCAAGGAAAGCCCGATATTCCAGAGTACAACGTCGCATATGCAAGCCACACGCTCACGAATACGGAAATGAACTACTTAGTAACTGAGAAAAAATGCCTCGCAATCGTTCGGGCGTTAAGTAAATTTCGTTCTTACTTGTACGGACAGAGTTTTGACGTTGTGGCAGACCACCACGCACTTTTTGTTGGTTGGCGTTGCTAAAAGATCCTTCAGGTCGACATGGACGTTGGGCTCTTCGCCTACAAGAATTCGACATTCGTGTCGTCTACCGCTCAGGATGACACTCTGATGTGGATGCCCTCTCCCGATCACCAGTGAGATTCAGCGCAGGCCTGCATTCGGACGCCAAATTCCCCATCACTCCCGTTTCCGTCACAAGCATGTTGTCTGAACAGCGGAAAGATACATGGACAACATCTCTCCTTGACATTCTTTCTGACTCCTCAACGCCTGCGAACCCATGCGTTCTTTGCCGCCAAGCCACACACTTCGAAATACGGGATGTGCAACTATACCGCAGAAACTACCACGCGATCTGATATGTGAGTGTATTTTCATGCTGACCCACAATAAGCTCACTCTGGTTTGTTAAAAGCATATCACTGGATCTGCCAGCGTTACTACTGGAGTGGTATGTACACCTATGTACAAAAATACATTCGGTCCTGTTCATTATGCCAACGACTTAAGACAGCGGCCTATTCACCCGGATTATTACAGCCTCTAATATGTCCGGTGCACCCTTTCAACCGCATTGGAATTGATCTATATGGTCCCCTTCCGTACACTGCCGCTAAAAATCGATGGATTATTGTCGCCGTAGACCATCTGACGAGGTACGCTGAAACAGCTCCACTACCTATGGCTGGTGCACGTGACTTGCGACGCTTCGTACTGCGTCACGGGGCACCATGTGGACTACTGAGTGATCGAGGACTAGTCTTTTTATCCGAAATTGTACAACAAGTCCTTCGGGCACGCTGCGCGGTTCACTGCACCTCTACAGCCTACCACCCGCAGACCAACGGTCTGAGCGCTTCAACTGAATGCTAGAAGACATGCTCGCTATGTATGTCAATTCTGACCAATCGAACTGGGGTGTCGTTCTCCCATTTGTGACTTATGCGTACAACATTGCGACTCAGTCAAGCACAGGCTTCTCGCCTTTCTTTCTTCTATATGGGCGCGAGCCATGCTCCACCCTTGACGCCATTTTGCCGTATCGTCCCGACGTCTCGGAGTTCAACCCTTTTTCTGAAATTGTGCACCACGCTGAAGAGTGTCGTCAGTTGGCCCGATCATTCACCCCGGACAAGCAAGCACTTGAAAAAGACCGCCATGACCACGACCAGCAAATCGAGACTTTTGTTGTAGGCTTGCTCGTCTGGCTCCGACTGCCTTTTCACTCCCCAGGTCTGTCCTCAGTTTGCCCCGAAGTTTCACGGTCCTTACCGCGTCGTTGAACGTCGATCTCATGTCACATACGTGATCGAACCGGTCACGCAATCTACAGACAGGCGACGCCTTGGTCGTGAGACTATCCACGTGAGTCATCTCAAGCCCTATCATGACCCACTCCTACTCTCGTCACGGCTCATCTTCGTCGCCGGGGTATTGTAGCGAGGAAGAAGATTATGTGCCGCAGTAGGTCACGACTTTAGCGCGAGGATTCGAGTGCGAGCTGTTGGCCCGAGCGCTGTGATTCCTGTGTCGGTTGCTGTTGCATGCTTTCTGTATCAATAGATCTCCTGTGCAAGTACTACTTACGCCAATAAACCCCGTTTCATATGTATGATTGTGCACAGTAGCGATCCCCACAGCTTGCGCTCCAATTGGAATTAAATCCTTCAGTTGTCACAATAAGATTAAAAGCACAGAAAATTGAGATAGTTGGCAAGGATTCATTGTAAAATAACGTAAGTGCACAAACAGGTATGCATTAGCATTATTGATGTAAATGTAGATAATAAATTCTGTGCTGACTGCTGAATTATTATTAAATTCTTAGTTTCACTACTTTAAAGGGGCTCTGAAACACTTTTTCAAGTAACCATGAAATGAATTCACTGAAAGAGCTTTGCCTCATAAATTCAACGTTGCAAAAATTTTAAGAATCCGTCCACTGCGAGTGGAGTTACAAAAATTTATCGCATGCTGCAATTGCATTCTCTCTTTTCTCATCCTGACGAAAGCGCTGGAAGCTATGCAGGAAGGGATGGCAGGGGCAAAGAAAATGTCACCCGTGCCTCGTGACCTTGAGCACTTTTTCTTTTTTTTTTTCTTCGAATGCGCGGCTTTTTCAGTGTGATCGTGCACGCATGCGTGGACATATTGCGGCCTCCCGCGGCGATCTCTGTAACGACTGGGCGTGCATTCAAATCGGCCAATGGCTAATAGATGGGCTTTCTACAAGGGATTTTTGAGCGCTTTCTGTCATTTGTTGAGAGAAGAGAAAGCAATTTTCAGCTGACTTTGATAATTTATTCTGAATTCCAGGTTGCGTGCTGTACTATAATATTTGGCTCGCCTGTTGTCCGGAGCCTCTGCTACCGACCGGCAGCATTTTCTGACCATGCTCAAAAAGTGTTGCAGAGGGCCCTGCAATGCTTTTCCAGCGTTGCATAGCTACTTTAGCCACCGTAGGATGTCGCCATGTGCCTGCTTGTGACGAATTCCTATAACTCGGATTTTACTCTACGGATTCTAAAAATATTTGTGGTAGTCGATTCAGGAGGTGATCAGCTTTTTTAAAGAAGCCATTTGAAGATTACTTGGAACAGTGTTGCAGGGAGGCTTGAGAAAATGAAAGTCAAGCCCTAGCTCTTCAATGCTGCGGCACAACTCTGGCACCTGTGCATTAACATGACTTTGTAGATTTCAAAGTATTTGCTCTTATATTGTGACACTTATATTGTGACAGTTGTGGTGTTGCAGAAGCTGTCGAGCAACTGTTGTGGTACAATTATCTTAGCTCATTTAGAACACAATTTCTCAGCCCATCCTGTTGGCCTAAAACTGATTGGATGCTATCGTAATGGATGGTCTCACTGCAAGTGGGCTCATTAACTTGAAGCAAGTGTTGCAAATCCAACAATGATATGCAACGCAGAACATGAAGAAGATGACGGGGTAAGTATAAACAACAGTCCCAACTCGTCACTTTGCAACTTCAAGACAGTATTGCCATCTTCCTCTTTTCTTTAGCCATATTTAGCCACTTACCAAGCTCAGAGTGAATTTTTTTGTTGCATAAATAGTGTATGATAATACAGATCTACTTATTTTCCGTTTAACTGTCATAAATGTCTTATGCACCAGCAGCATGAAGAATCCTTTTTAATGAATTGAAACAACGTGCAGGTGCCGGGAGGCAACTGGCCCATCGGGGTCAAAAGGGACTCTCAACTGAGGGGACCCTTGCAATCGTTAGGATTTCAACTGAGCCAATACCAGCCATCCAAGTCATGGAGTGACCCCTGGCGGCAGCAAGCATCTGCCCTTGTGAGGAACGTGATCTGTGCGCACGATTTCGGAGACCACCAGCGAACATTGAAGCCAGGTTATCTGCTCCCGCATTCCTTGCATGCTTCAGTCGATGGTCGCCATAAACTGCAGCACAGTGCACGCAAAGCCATGTTAAGGCGCAGGTGACGGAAGTGCCCTCGGTTAGGTGTAGTATACGCATATATGCAGTGTAGTATAAACTTGGTGATACAACCACAGCTTGTATAAATTTTGTGGTGCTACAGACTTAGACTGATCAAATAGTTTTTGTGACCCTGTGAGATATATACAGTGATGTGATAGCTGCCCCAAAAACGCCAGATTTCGCCGAAGGATGACTCTTGCTACATCCTGCTACATTTCTACTAGTCTGCGCCAAACATGGTGTTTTGACATTACGAAAACGAAACTAATCTTTCAATGTGGACGTGTCCCAGTATATGCCTTCCTCGCATGCACACGCTATGCTACAGTAGCCGTGAGTATGCACGCACATGCAGTGTTGGTCGGACTACCATTCTATTACACCAAAACAGATGAGCAATACACGCACTATAAAGCGTTTGCGGGCCTGCTGTGCCGACGAAATGATTACAGAAAAAGAAAAGTGCTCTCACAGATAGTTGTGGGCTAACTTTTCAGAGCTGCTCGTTCGTGTGCCGGATTTCCCGCGAATCAGCAACTGAATCACCACGTGATTTCGATTTCCCAGGTGCAGTGTTGAATGCAGTGCAAGCGTGAACTACAGGACTGCACATGCACATCCTTGTTTTCATTGACGATGCGGCTCTCTTCATTCAGAATCATATTGTTGTTACCATTAGTATACTCCTTCCAGAATCTAACCACTGCAAAGCTTTTTGTTGTCTCAGCACCAAACGACACGTCCGCAGTCGTTACCAATGAGGCGGGTGAGGCCAACTTGGCATGTCGTTTGCCAGTAAGCTTGCCCTAGACAAAGTGAGATCGGCTGCATAAGATATCGCTCTCACGAGCTCAAACAATGGCAGCACGTGTGAAACAAAGTTTGGATTCAGGGCTGAGAGAACGCGTAGCCACGGCAGCTATGCTGGCCAAGCTTGTAAATCCGCCTGCTGGTGTCAAAAAGGAAAGCCCGCATCTCAAAGCGTTTACATTTGTAGAACTGCGCCATCACGGCTGGAGGAATTGAGGTTTAATGCACTGATACTTGCACTCTGCAACATCGTAACTATTTTCCAGACAAAAATCCGAACAGCGGTGCGGCGCACTTCATGTGGACACGGGTGCCCATTCAGTGCGGAGCGTGCGTGCGGAACGAGTAGAAAGCAGTCATAATAAAGGTTTTTTTGGTGGCTAGACAACCTTTCGGTGCACCGCAACACCGGCAATGCACCTTTTTTCTCCACACCAGCACTCCTCTCAGCGACCCCTTATTCTTAGTAATGTTTTCGTCGCCATTCCTCCGCGGCGAGCATACCTCTGTTGAGAATCCAGGTCGTTACCTTGCTTATCTGAGCCACATGATTGTGCGTGTACATAGAGTTGTATGGCAGGATCAACGGTAGTAAGAAAGAACTGCTTTGTAGCTAGTCTTGCCCGCTATAAGTGGTTGCACATAAGTAGTTCGAGCTGTAAGTTCATGGAATGTATAGCGTGCTGCTTTTATGCACTTTATTTAGCTGTTTTAGTTGTCACTGATTCCAATTTTCAGTAAACTTGGTGTTAAGCCTCTGGCAGCTCGAAAAGGCTTTTTTCCTCCTCTAAAATACACTCCTGGTTGCTCTGAAAGCCTGTTTTTCTTGCACAAATTGGCATTTTTGGCTGCCATGAAAGCATTTTTCTGCTCCAAACTTTTAGATGCTCCAAAAACCTGCTCTAAAATTACTTCAGCAAATCACGTCAGTGTCTGTCATTGCGATTTGACTGTATAAGTAATCTAAAACAGATTTTGTTGAAGAGAACTCTGATACACTGATGTTGTCGGTGACATTGGTGTTTCATGCATACACCGCTACTGTTAGGTTGATAATAATGGCAGATCTGAATGTAATTGTGAGGATGCTTTATGTCCGTACATAACAGTCGTAAGCTATGAGAGATTGCCTCTCATAACCCGAGTGGCCCCGGGATGCTAAATTGTGTAAACGAGCAAGTGAACATCCACCATCTTCATCGTCATAATTCTCATCTTCTCTCTCTTTTCTTACACACACACACGCTCGCACGCGGGCATGACAGAAAGCAAACCTTAATTCTGGCCTACAGCCATTGAGTGCAGTGATGCAGAGCTTTGAAAAGGCATACTGTGCAGCTTTCTTTCAGTAAGCATACACAAGGTAAAATTAAGTTTTGTTCTTTTGCAATTTCTCGGTTCTGACTGCTTCGAACTTTGCCAGTACTGTTTACATCCTAAGCAGCTGTGCACAGTGATTGAAGGAAAAATTAAAAAAAAAAAAAGCCAAGGATGAAAGCCACTTAAATGTGGTATTGGCATTTGGAAGCAAGCAGGAAGTGTATGAGCCATGTCGACATGTTTAACACATTGTAGTATAAACGTTCACAAACTCGTTTACAGCGAGCGAAAAATCGCCACGCAGTGGAAAGTTTTAAAGGCCCACTCCGGAGATTTTTTTACCATGTCAGGTTAATGGTGCTTTTATGTTCTCTGAGATACTGTTGTCATCTGCGCGATGGCTGAAATGCTCAACAAATTTGAAAATAATTTTTAATCAGCAAAAAACCGCAATAACCAACCCGAAACCCAACCGAGTACGCTTCTAGGAATGATGTAATACTTTACCATAACCTGACTGGTTGTGCATAATGCTGCCAGATGGCACTAATTGTCCAGGCCGTCCAAGTTTGTGCCTACGGATATCGGCTAGAACCCTTACACTGTTATGGTGAATATATGGCGAATCATGTGCTGCCCACAATGCAACACCGCTTGCCATCCATCACACAACCACCACCACGGAAAAGGAAATCGCATGCTCAACCAAGGAAGTGCCAGCCAAACCTGCACAATCCATAGCAGCCAAGCAGACACTGCAGTGGCACATCAGTCCCATCACTTCCGCTTTGCAAGAATCAATATCACACACACAATGTTGCCATTAATTGTAGCAAGCGAGGTGATTCGTTTGGAGGCAAGCTATAAAATCAATTTGAAGAGAATTTGCGATACTCTGAAGCCTGCAATCTTGCATGAATGGCACAAACGTGCTAGTGAATGCACCCAGTGAATTTCATTGAGATCTATTGACCTCGAAAAATCGCAGAAGTTGGCCTTTTAAGTAGAGGGAAAAAGCCAACCACTAAAATGGCTGAGAGGATATTTATAAATTTGAGGGCATTGTGTGCGGTCTGGGAAGCAAGAAACAAGCATTGAAGTCCTTAAGGGGAGATGCGGGTCGAAAAACACGAGTTTTTTTCAAAATTACAGATTTTTTATTTTTGCCTGTTTTGATAATATTAGTACCTCTAATGTTATGAAAAAAAATACAGGTTGAGACCAAACTGGAAATGCTTTAAAATTGCATCTAAAGAGCACAAGGTGACTGTTAAAAGGTCCAAAGTGTGCAGTCTTCGAGCACCTTGCCGCTGATAATGTGCCGCTGCTCGCCATTGTTGATTGCAAGAGTCGAAAATTTGAGCCTCACTCTTCAAATAACAACAGTCTCCCTCACTGATGCAGCGCAAGAAATAATAAAAAGAAGCAGGCTTCTGCGCGTTTTTCAAGCGCCGCGACTGGCTTATCACGTGGTATGGATCGGGGTACCGCCATTGGCTGCTGCGCGCCTGTATGTGCTGTGAAGCCTATTTGCGGGGTCCATGTCCTGTCGAGCAGCGCAACTGAACAATGCTTTTTCAGTGTAATTATCTCCGTTGTGAGTGAAAAAAGCCATTGCTCGCAAGTGAAAGCCGTTGTGCGGCGTGCTCTGTAGGAATAGGCTACGAGCAGCTGGTCCGATTTGCGGCAGTTGTTGGCTTGCAAAAGCCAATGCATCAAAAGTCATTCAAACCCATCAGCCGGAAAACTCGTGATGCGGCAATGGATGACGTCACCGCCAATCTTGTGAGGTTGAAAGAGCTCGCAGTGAGAGAACTTAGCAGGGACGACAGTGCCATTATGTACAACGGTATGTGGCACAAACATGGCCGCAAAATGGCATGACACTGGACTTAGTTTGGATTTCGCAGTCCTGTCGAACTTCTTCCTAGCTTGCAGTTGGAACATGGCTCTGCCACATGGAGCGGAACTTTGGCAAGCGTTTCATGGCCCTGTCTATGAGCGAAATGATTCCGAGGATTCGGCTCGAAAAAGCCGAGAGGGACAAATTTATGGTGCGGGCGTATTTTAGTGGCAGTGGCCACTACAATAAAGATTGTTGTTTTTGGTTGTCAAATTTCATCAGATTTAATGATATCTTTCATAAATGAAAACTCAATTTTAACTTTAAAACTCGTTTTCTCAAAACACAAATTTCGCCATTTTTTTCAATGTGCCCCTTCTTTTTCGGGCATTCATAGTGCTCGGATCTGCATGAAATCTTGCCCAAATTTTTCCAAAGTACGATAAATGCAAATATGTAGTTTGAATTTCAATATTTTGTTGTATAATAAAAAAATTGTATGTAAACCTTTACTAGGGTAGGTGAAATGTGGACTTTTTATGTCTATTATTATGCATGCCTATTACATATTTTGTATGTGCTTCCTAATTAGTCATTTGCATTCTACGCTTTATTACAAACATTATGAACTATGAATGGTAAAAAATTATGGAAGTTTAGGGATGAAAAAAGGGGGGGGGGGGGCAAAAGGGTTAAGGTTTTCACTTTGTCATGTTGCAGAGCTAAAAGTATGCAACTTGCAAGAAAGGTAATTATATATTTGAAAACAGCATAAAAAGTTTCATAAACAACTCAAGTTTCATTGCTCTAGGGTGAATATTAAAAAAAAAGTGTCTTCTAGTAGCATCTCCCCTTAAGCGAAAATGAGGCTGTCCGGATATAATTTTTGCGTGCTTTAATAAGGATTAGGCATGCCGATTCTAAAATATTTCTGTGTAATATCTAGTTTATGATTAATGACACTCATTTGAAATTGCAGTTTTCTCAGGCTGCTAGACGACCATGCGGTCCTACCAGCCGCCATTGGCGCTAACATATGACGTCAGTGAAACGTCATGGTAGGAGAACTTATTAACAGAGCATCAGCTTTATTTATCTTCAAAATGAGATATTTATTTGCAACTCCATAAAACACTCCGTGTGCTGGCAACACTTTTCGAAAAAGTAAAGATGGCTTCACTTAACAGGGCCAGCGTGGCAGTTTTGCTTGGCGCTGTGCTGAAGTTTATTGTGGCATCGGATTGCATTGCTTTTTCAAAGGCGAAAGTTTACTGGCTGAAGACCACCTCATTCTTATCGGCATAAAGGATTTCACTGAGGAAATAGTGGAAATGTTTGGGCTGTGTGCACAGACACCAAGCCTCTCCAGCAAACCGCACCAGATTTACTTCAAGTTGAAGAACCTGTTCAGCGAGCCCGATGTTAAAAAAGGCAGCTGCTCATGCATAGCGGACCTCTCCGAAAGGTGCAAGCACTTGTGTGCTGCGTTGCTGCACTGCTGCAGGCAAGGCCTTAACAGTTCTCTGCGCTGCAACTTGCACTGCCAATTGCGTGTATCCCATTGAGTCCTGGTGTCCCATCAAAAGCTGAATATGCATGCCATTCACTTGATTGCAGAATGGAGCTATGGTAGGGGCATATCTTGAGATAAGGCAAATCATAGTTTCGATTGTTATAAATGTGCTCCTTTCTTTTTCGTTCACCAATCCATGCTATCAGGTTTCTAATAAATAAGGTTGTGTGCGTCTGAACACTCGCTTGTTCGTGTCGGTAGTAGTTGATATTCAAAGCAGATATATGCATGCACACTGCACATGCTACGAGTGCACGGACATGATATATATATATATATATATATATATATATATATATATATATATATATATATATATATATATATATATATACGTGAACGTACTTACACACGCTACGCATGCCCGACCTTCGCGCATGCGTTTGTGTGTGTATGTGTGTGTGTGTGTATATATACACACATGCGAAATCAAAAATTTTCTGGGGGAAGGGTTACATCAGCTTAATTTGGGAATAGGTAGCACTACGGCTTGTGCAGAAAACAAGCATATGCGATACAGTCACACCTGTAACGCAAAAACATTTCCTGAAGCGCTTGCTTTGTAAACGAATCTATGCTCCGTGCTAGGGAAGCCTGAGTATTGATAAGAATACACATGCTAAATAATGGCATACTTAATGAGAAGAACTAAGTCATCGCGAGCAAATTTATCAGAGCAAGCTACCGTAGCGTCCGTCACCTTCATTCCAATGCGTAAGTTTCTGATTTGCACTGTTCTTTGTCGTGCGGAGTTTGCATCCTTTGAGAAGTCATCGAACGATATGTTCCCATCTTTCCAGCAGGATGCCTCACATTGCGGCACACAGCAATGGTCTTTGAACATCGCTTACCTCTTTATTCGGGCTCGCGCGTACAGCATGGTGAAAATAAGGGAACTATCCGGGCACTTCTCTACGCGCGCAACGTAGTAACATATCTACTTTCAATAGTGACCCGGTTAGCGCTGTTTCCAGGCACGGCCACTAGGTGGGGTGTGCTCAGCTGAAGTCGTGAATAAGAACCTAGGAAAGAAAAAAGAAAACACAGCAATTTTCGGGCTTTGAGCTGTGTATACTGTGGAAGTACAGCGAGCGATCTGCTTAAATCTGCTTTCAAGTATATCTGGGCACCGTCATATGTTGCCTTTGCTCGCTCTGCGCAGTGTCTCAGTGTTTTTCTTACTGGTTGCATTAGGTTGTGTTTTATGACATGTTTTGGAGTGGCTTAGCCCTCACTATGCCTATCCTGTGCGTCATCAGACAGTGCCACACAACTTATCAAAGTGGAAACAATGTTTGTGACGGCTTTACAGCACTGCAGTCAAGAAGGTAGGATGCTACGAGCTTTGGTCAGCATAGTCATGCAAACATTGCTGCATTACCATGTTTTGTCAATGACAGAGGATTTTCATTGGCGGACATGAAGCGACGTCAGTTGTACAGTTGAGGGAAATGGGAGCAGGTAGTCAAAATTGTGTATTTATAACTAAATGAACCAACACGATTAAACCAGTTGAGGTATAGTATTGAATGGACAACCAGGATTCTGAATACACGCATAGTTGAAAATTTTCTTAAAATGTTTCAAGACCCCTTTACCACCCTATGGTAGCAAAACCCATGTGACCAAGAGGGGACATCATGTTTGGCATGGCGGCGTAATGTGATGGTTTAATCATGTGAAACATTGTGTGGTGGCATCATCATCTCAGATGTGATCATTGATAACTATATTATTGTGATGTGAATATTACACGATGAAATCATGCGATGAAATCACATCAAACGTCGGACTATTATCACGTAATGATGCCACCAGAAAGGGCCACCTCTTAGAGAAGCAGTGCACTGTGCGCTTCCTGCTTCTTTGCACTGTCTTTAGGGTCAGCTCACATTTTTTGTGAGCAGGATATTGCCATGAGAAACGACAACAATGTCGAGGCTAGCAGCTTCATTTTCATTGCATTTCATTTTCATTGCATTTCATTTTCATTGCATTTCATTTTCATTGCATTTCATTTTAGCGTATTGTTAGCCCTATTCAGACTAAAACAAGGGTGCAAGAAACAAACAAACGTACACAAAAAAAGTACTTCCTATACAAACAATTAGTATCATGCAGAACAATGAATGACTAAAGATAGCCAATGGACTTCACTCTGGAGCACAGAAAATAAGCACAAAATAAACTGTACATCTTTAAGGGGGGACGCGGCAATGAAAATTATTTTTGTTATTTGTGAAGCTAAAGGGATGAACTTTGGCATGCAAATGTCATTTGTTGTGCTGATATCATAACTGAAATTGGATTTGAGCTATTTAATATAACTTTTGAGTTACAATGCTTGATAGACTCTCACCGTCACCCCATAAATAATTAGCTAATTACACGCAAGTTAGTCAAAATATTTGCATAAAGATATTTACAAGGGTTTATTTTGTGCCATAATGCTATTAGTTTATTTTTAATATTTAAATAAGCACACAAAACTTTTTTTCTGAAATGTCCTGGACATATTGTCTGACCAACAACTCTTACAAAAAGTCAATTACAAAGGTCATCACAAATATATATGTGCACACAAATATGGACAGCTTTACGGCGCTCACAACAAACGCAGACATAAATATCATCAGTTTTAACAAAGCAGGTGAACAATTGCTTTGTCATATCTATAGTATAATGAATAAACACATATAACGAGTTTTTGGACATAGCGCAGCAGTTTCTCTTGGCAGATGTGACTTTGTTATAATGAGGTTTGAGTATAGGCTCGATCCTTGCCACTCTGGTCGCATTTTGATGGAGACAAATTTCTAGAGGCTTGTGTACTGTTCACTTTCAGCGCACATTAAACAACGCCAGATGGTCCAAATTTCCAGAACCCTCTACTATGGCGTGCCTCATGTTTTGGACCTAGAATCCCCTAATTATTAATCTTAACACACAATACTGTGTTTACGTTTGTTTGGCTCGGTGCACGTGAAGCAACATTTCGCACTGAATCTTCATGTAGGCCTCAATGTTGCTCATGGGTCAGAACACATCTCGAGAATTGAGAGCCTCATTACGAGGTCATTCTTGGCGGGCCTGCCGTAACGTATTATATTTGCTTCAACACACCTGCATCGGTATTTTATTGACATTTACTTTTGACATTGCTTTGATATTTCATTAATTTTCAGCTTTCAGACCATAATGTTTGACGTCTCACAATTTATTTCCTTGAAAGCTGAATTTCGTGCATCCCAAGGTTGTGTACGTTTGACCTGCTACTGTAACCACTGTTTGTTTTATTTACTCAGAAGGCCGTGCAGTGCAATGCGTTGTTGTGTGTGGGCGCCAGAACACCGGGAAGTCGTCCCTGCTTCGAGTGCTTGTCAACAGCTACCTGAATTTGTGAGTAGTAACTGCTGCACTCAGTCATAATCCTCTTGGTTATAGATGATGGTAATGAAGTCTCAATACACCTCCTCTAAATTACACGTTTTCACTGGATGTGGCAGAGACTGTAGAGATTATGTTGTATGCACCATGATGTAGTGTCGCCTCCGAATGCTAGATTGACCTAAAGAACATATGAAGACAGCTGTAACAGTCGTCAATAATTTTTTTTTCTACTGCCCGTACATGTGCTCGCGTTGCTCTGTGCCTGTGCCTGGATTTGATGGCTCAGGTCTACCGTCTGTCCAGCTTGGTGAAGGCCCAACAAATCAATAGTCGTGCAAGGTTTAAGGGACACCTAAGGTAAATAACAATTTATGTGAGGGTGAAAGCTTGATGTATGATGTCTAAAACGGCAATATTATCAACAGCAGTGCCCTACTTACCGAGAAATTAAGCCAAATGTATTACACGACCTGCATCACAAGTGGGACATTTTTAAAATGATCCCGACTACATGGGAGCGTCGGACTACAGTTATTTACTAGTAATCAAACTAGCTGCAATAAAAAAAGAACCTTCCTTGCATCAAGCGATGTAATTAAATGCTGCTTGTCTGTATCTGTTTGATTTATAGAAAAAGAACCGCCTGGCGTTACTGTGGGCAATGGTGCAAGTGGTTCAAAAGTTCTGTTTTTGCCTGGTTAGGCTGGATAGGTGGTGCCATCTAGTGGGGCTTAGTTGAACCATGCAAGCAGAAAATTGTTCAATGGTCGTTGTTGCTGCTGAGGCTCCCACTACTATCGCTCTGTTTGCTGCTACTGTCGGCGGCCACGCAGTAAAGGCGGGCAATGTTGTGCATGCCGCTTTCAGGTGGGGGACTTGAAGTTTGTAATGCGTTGGGACTGCTAAAATAGATTTCATTCCAAATTAGCACTTTTTTCGGCTCAATGGTAGCACTACGAGGTTTCTGGACTGCTATGTCAACAGTCAAGGTAGGCTTCATATTTATTTGCCTTTAGTGCCCCTTCAATTGCCTCCTTATGTTTTTTTTTTTTGTACTACTGCTCATTCTCTTTTCTTGTGTGCGCAATGTTATGTGATTAGAAAGAAAGCACTAGCTGGAAGTTGGTGGGTTTTTTCATGTCAACACTATGAAATTTGACTTTATAATAGTAACTATCTCAATCTCTGACTTTAGATATGATGAAAGTGTTTATCACCTAAGTTTTAAGGAAATCAAGCAATCAATGTAGCTTGGTGCTTTATCTCAGTTTATGTTGCACCTTCCATAATACAAAGCGTGATGAATAGGCAAGCACGATTGAACTATTTCTGAATTTATAACTGCTGTTCACAGCATGGTGTGGAATAACGACTTTTCTCCCATTTTCTTTTAACGAATTTTCTTTTTTCAAAGAAATGTGTGCAAAGTGTCATGCTGTGCATCTATTCGTTGTCACACCTGTTTTGACAGCTGCTCCGAGGTGCTGTACTTGGACTGCGATCCCGGCCAGTGCGAGTTCACTCCGCCGGCCACTGTTTCACTCACCCGTGTCACTGAACCACTCCTGGGTGAGCCAGTGCGACTTGTTGCGGTGACTCTTATTGCTTCGGTGGTGAGGTGTGAATTCGTGATGTCGCCATGATATCAGTCGCACAACTTGAGGCAAGCAACGCAAACTGTTGCTTGCCTGATTTTGTGTGACTGCTTGCCTTATGGGGATGCCGAGCCACTTCAGTGAGTAACTGCTTCAGCAAGACCAGTGGTTACCAGCTCAAATGGCTTACAGTGTAGTATAGTATAACTTTTTGTATCATCAAAACTATTTGTATTATCAAACTCTTTGTATCATCAGGCAATAGAAAATAGTATGCGACAAGGCAAAGTTGGCATTTTTATTGTTTGTCAGGACTGCGTTAACCTCATAGACAAACATGAATGATTGCAAGTGGCGTTATAACGCCAGTGATCATATTTGATCTCGTACATATATGCTGCATGCGTGTGTGTAACTTACGGACCAAATGTGTTGCGACGGAGTCCATTCTGATACGCTTTTTTTGTGTTACACTAGACTACTTTGCGGAAAGTGGCTTAGAAAGTGCTGCACATGAAATAGATGGTCAGAGCATATTAGAACTGTATTTTTTTTTCTTTTTGCTCTGGTGTTGGGGCTGCTTTTCAAGAGATTTGCAGCATTGCCGGCACGACCAGGAGGTTTGCTAAAACTTCAGGAACCTCTCGTACAAATCTGAGAGTTGGCACGTGTGTGCGTCTCCTGCAATGCTGCTCATCAAACGTTGCGGGGCCTAGCGATCGAGCTCCTTCAATAAGCCCGTCCGCATCTTCTTTCAGACCTCGTTTACCTTTTATAGGATGTCTGATTGCGAGGACGTGGCTTGCATTGACATGACGGGCACTTGTAAACTTAGTGCAGCAATGCTGCCACACTTCAAGGTGACATTAAAAAAAGAAAATTGCAAGACTAACGCTTTCCGTTGTCTGAAAGCAAATGCACAGGAAAGTGTGTTAGTATGTCCTTAAAGATTCATTTGTACTATTTGATTAAAATTTATAAGTTTCTTATTAAAACACTTATATTTTATTAAAATTCATAATGTAATTTTATTTAAAGTCATGAAATTCTTTAGCCCCCTTTCTTTTCTCTCATTTTTTTTAAGCTTACATTTTATGCAGCTTTCACCTCTTCTCTTGCGCCGGTTGAAGGGGTGAAAATTGCATGCGTGACAAATGGCAGTGTGGTAGAAGTTAGTGGCGAATTAATTTTTTTCTTTGTAGCTGTAGAATATGGGCAGCTGCTGCTTTTCATATGCACCTACTTCGTGGGTCTGGTGTAGTCGAACACATTATGTGAACTGACGCTAAGAACACTGATAAAGTGGTTTGCATTTACAGTAAAACCTCATTAACTTAAACTCGGTTATTTCAAAATCTTGCCTAATTCAAAGGATTTCCGCGGTCCCGTATTTTAAAATGTAAGTTTGAGTGGATAATTTGAAGCGGTGGCAGGCCCCACTTCGGTTAATTTGAAAACTTTGGGTGCCATGTGCCAGTTCCAGATCCTGATTTCGCCGTGAATCGGCGGAAACGACGCCCCTTAATAGGCACAAGGCAATTCAACGTAGTGATATTAATAAGTACTGCTGAAGCACTCCACCCTCTCTACTTCCAGCACACACAAACACTTTCGTGGTTAATCAAAACGTGTGCCTGCGAAAAACGAGCCGTGCTTCACTGCAACACAGTGGTGATGCGCAGGCAGCGTATTGCATATTTCTCAAAACGTCAGCAAGTAATAGTTTACCCATCCTTCCTGGGATTGTAAAAAAGTTAATAAAGGGCGATTTGGCGAAATTCGCGATGTATGCGAGCCTCCGATTGCTGGTTGCTCCAGCAATTCACGTCTTTGCACTACTGGCGGAGTTCTTGCCAGCAACACCTACTTAGAAAACCAAGTTCAAAAGTTTCAAAGATTACTTTTTTTTTCAGCCAAAACACATCGCAAGTTTTGTCATACTGGCCATTATTAAATTCCTAATTATACCAGAAATAATGTGCGAATGTTCGGGCCATGACGTGCGGGCGCGCGAGGAGCAGGTGACATGCTGCCTGCCTGTCACTATTGTGTTGCAGTGAAGATGTCTTGTTTTCTGCAGGTGCACATTTCAGTCGATCACAACAGCGTTTTTTTTTTCTTTTTTTTCGGTGGCAGCAGCATGGTCTATCGTTCCTCTATGTTCACCGCAGAATTAAGCCCAGGTATTGTTGAAAAACAATCCTTGGAGCCTTGAGCTAGCCGGCACAGCAAACGACAAGCATCGATTACTTTGAATAGCTCTAAACTCCTTGCATCTCACTTTTTGTATGTTCTGTTAATTCAAAAACCCACTCAATTCGAAGATTTCTCGTAGCCCCAGTGACTTCGAATTAACAAAGTTTTACTGTATCTTGCATTGGCTTCATTTCCTTCAACAGGTACTAAAGCACAGCTTATCAAATTCTTGAATAAAATTTGATTGCCTAGTCTAGATGCAAACAAGCAAGGGCGTTTGTTGCAGAAAATGTTTCCTAGGTTGTAATACAGTAGACTCTCAGTAAACGGAACCTGAAGGGACCAGGGAAAGTATGTTCCATTTAACAGGAGTTTTGTTTACTGAGAGTCTACTGTAATGTTGCTAGAGGATGGATGTCTGCAGTGCACGGGAGATCGCATTAAACCATCTAGCGGGCTAATGTGGATGTAGATGATAACGAATGCTCATTTAAATCTTTTCAGGGCCGCCATTTACTCATGTCCGCACACCCGAAAAGTGAGTCAATTTTGCCCTTATGTTAACGAAACTTGCACATTCACTTGAAACTTGCTAGTAGCAAGTGAGTCGAGGCAGCTTCTCTTATTTTCTTTCGTATAATCCGCGCTCCTAACTACAACATGCAGAAATAATTTCGGAATCATTCTCAGCGTTTAAAGTATCTCGTCTCTATTCTGACTTTAGCTTTGAATGTACTGTATATTTAGTGTGGGTTATACGGGAGAAAGTACGGTATGCTCAATCTGGGAACCAGCTGTTTGCCAAGCTAAAGTGCCTTGCTGTTGACACCGTTTATGTGAGTTCGCAATACCATTGTCAAGTTACAATTGGCAGTTGCTTTGTTCCTGCACCCCTGATCGGCCTGATTAGTAGAGCTGTGCAAATAGCAAAATTTTTGGTGCGAAGTGAATTCGAGTATTAAAGGTTGAGTGCGAATCAAATTGAATATTTTTAATGGCTGTCGAACATTTGTTTAATATTTTTTTAATACTTCGAAGTTAAATTACAGAAAAAAAGGTTGCTGAGAATTCCTAAACACACTCCTTTGAGATATAAATGTAAATGTATTTTTTCTGGCTAGCTTGGTGAAGCGTTGGAGGGGTGGTGTTTCCTAGTGGACTTACGAAGAATGGGGCAATGCAGATGCTGAGTTGTGTTTATTTACATGATTTGGTGAAACCAATTTGGTTTCACAGAACTTCGCATGCTAAAGGAAAAGACGTTATTTTTTCTACCTCTCTCCTCCAACTTCTGTGGAGGCCTAGTTGACTTGGGGACAAGGGCGGGCGCTCCTTTTCAGTTTCTAATCTGCCTCATAGACGTCAACATACAAGACCACCTGTAATTTCCGGTGCTAAAAATCTTCGGCACCCGATTTTTCGAATTTTCTATCCAAATTTTCATGTTGTAACCACCGTTTTCTATAGTCAATACATTTGCGACCATAACAGAGCTTGAAAAGAAGCTTTGCCGCAATGAAAGTATGATGGGGTGAAGCATATTGAAAATTTGAAGGGGCCACTGTCAATCAAGCATTGACTCTATTTGTTTTTGGGAAGTTTTAATAGTGAAATTCCAGTGCAAATTGAATTGAATAGTAATTTTTGCGAGTGCTGTCGCCCAACCTATAAAACAAATAGAAAGCAAGTGACTCGCAGTGGGCACTTTTCAGTCAAAATGACCCTTTGTGACCATTTGTGATCAGTTGCTTGACAACCAGCTTCATTGTGGGAACTCTGAGAGTGTCAATGAGCCCTCCATATTTCAATTTTGGTAAACATTGTCATTAATTAGATTTTACGCAACCAGTTAATACATTATTTCACATTGTTTATGCAGAGCTTACTTTTTAGGTCACGTGAGCCCAGCCAGCCAGCCTGATTCCTACTGCATGGCCATACGTGCGCTCATTGATCACGCTCGGAAGGTGGCACCGAGGGCACCGCTTCTTGTCAACACCATGGGCTGGGTCAACGGCAAGTCTCGTTTCTGTGCTAGTTCTGTGCTGTGCGATTCAAAAGGTAACGGTGTGACTTTGGGCATGCTCAGAAACAGAAGAGTAGCTAAGAACTGACATCTTGAAAAACGGTGCTAATCCTCATGGCCACTTTGAATTATGCCTCAATTCAAAAGTGCATCGTTACCTTTTTGAATTAGCCAAGTCTATCACTTGCCTTCCTCAGTTCCAGTGTTTTGAGCTGTCACGTAGTGCTGACTATGTTGTGTGAAAAGCGGCCATGATGAGATATTTTCAGTCAACTGTAGTGTGTTTGGTGAACCCGTTCCTTGACGGAAAATAACTGGTAGGTGGTACTTGTCTGAGATAGCGTTTTGGACTAGTTCAGGCCAGGTGTCATATGGGAATATAGTAGTGGCTGACGAATCAACACAGGTGCATAGCAGCAACAGCACACAGCTCTCATGTTACTGCGTTCAATCTTGTAGCATGGTAGTTGAGTGTGGTTCTGCACTGTGTGTTTTTTAAAACCTCAAGAGCAGTGCAATTTTGCAGGGCTTGGTCTCTCCCTACTGACGGATGTGATCAGGTGGCTGTGCCCAACAGACCTGGTGCAGCTTGTCACCGAGGCAGAGAACGGCGATACACCTATGCCACTTCTGGACGAGACACTGCTGCGATCCGCGTGTGGTTGGATGACGTCGCGCAGTGACAGCGATGGCCTCTGGCCACTGGACGATCTGTCGTGCTACGCGTTGCCTGGCTCTACCTTCAGGGGAAGGTGTGCGACTCGGCAGAATTTGTTATTTGTTGATGTGAGAAATTTGCAAGCTTAAAATAGATAGAAACGACTTGCAGAAAACTGGTTAAATAAGACATCTTTGGAAGAGAATTATGTCCAGCGGTGAAAAAAAAATAAGCAAATTATGTGGCACCGTGCATCCGTTGACACTGGGGCCAGCATTTCACTGACAGTATCAGCCAGCATGGAAACTTCACATGTGTTCGCCAGCAGACAGATGTCTTCAAGGGTGATTTGTGGTTGTCCACAAATTGTTTTGTGGGTGTCCATAGTTGTGGTATTTTGTGGTTGTCCACAACTTACGATCATGGGTTTCCAAACACTAGGCATTAAGGAGAGATGCGGTGCGAAAAAAAAGTTGCGTTGATATGTTGCCTAAGCAAAAGAAAGCTTTGCTGTATATATAGGGTTTCATGCTGATTTCAAACATGTAATTAGGTAGTTTTAGTAAGTTGCACAGTTTTCGTTTTGTTGTATGACAATGTGTAAAGTATTCTTCATTTCGGGCGAACTTTTTATGCCACTAAACCTTTTGCGTTCTGAGCCAGCAATGGCTCACATTGCTCCACATTAACTGTAGAATGCAAATAAGTATCAAGAAAGTGCTTTTAAGACAATTTAAAGGACTAGAAAAATTGTATAATGGGAGAATCCTTAGTATCCTCAGCCTATACTGATTACTTACTGTAAGTTTGGAATAATTATACAGGCAATATCAAGTCTTAGAGTGGATACTTGCACCCTTGACATGTTAAGGAATATGTGGGTGAAATTTCATCCTTATTGTGTCTATTAGATGTACCAAAAGCATGATGTCTAAACTCAAGGAGTTGCCCAAAAATGGATCATGAGAAAAATGCATATTGAAGATACAAGTAAAAGCTTATCTATGAAGAAAAGGTATGTTTTTAAGATGATTTTTTCCATCATAAGAGCTTGGCAATAATGGTTACTTCAAGCATGTGGCTTTAGTGGACTTCTCATGCAAAATTCAATGGTACAGCCAGGTGACAATTTCCAGGAAACTCTATACAACGAGCTCTTTTTAGTTTTTGATAGCCACCTTGTGTTCTTTAAAAAGAATTTTAACGTATTTCGAATTTAACTACAAAGTTCAATTTTTTTTGTCGTGAAAGTAGGGAAACTAAGCTCGTGAAAGCAAATAAAAACTAAAATGTAATTTTAGAAATTGCATTTTTGAACTCTCATCTTTCCTTAGAGCCCCAATATACAGGCTCCTGACCTTTTTTTTTTTTTTTTACACTGTCAAAACAAGTTAGCTCGTTCATTCAAAAGTCCACGGTGATCACATTTGTGACCATCATGGCACAGCGTATTGTGCAGGCATTTCATTTTGAAGAACCATTCCCAAGGCGCTCTTTAGTGTCAGCGCATTCTGTCCACCCTCTGAGCAATAAATAATGCCCGTGGTCGTATGCACTAAAAAACGGCACCTGTGCCGTGCGGTGATGGCCACTGTCGCACACACTAAAACCTTGTTATAATAAACCCGGATGTAACGTGATACTGATTATAGCAAAGTAAATTAAGAATAGTCTTGCAGTAGATATAGTGTCGAGAGTATACGGTTATAACACATTTTTGGATATAACGAACTTACTTTGCTGTAGTATGTAACTTGTTTACAATGAGGTCTGAGTGTACTTATCTACTTTGTCAATGCATCTCACTGCAGTTGCTCACCATGCCAGTTGTGAGTAGCTGACATGAGCGACTCATGGAGGAAGCCTTGCTCGTTGTTGGCTGTGCGCCGATGACACAATCGCTGACACCATGTTACATAAAGTCTCAGCAATGCACCCTTCTGCATTGCGGAGGATGGGGAGGCTGAACTGGAAACCAAAACCGACAAACACGCTGTTTCTTTCTCTGTAGCTGCCTTATTACTGCACTTATTCTCAAAATTTTTTGTAGTAGCACGTTCAGAACCACAGAGTTTCCTTAAATTAAATAGAGGCGACTCTGGCGCTGCGATCATTCAGCGACCATGGGAATGATGTGTAGTTTGGAATGATTTGCTTGGGCTTCCTACTGGCGGGCCTCGAATCCCACTCGTGGCTGTGTTTATTGCTGTGCTTCAGTTTTGTTTTGAAAGAAAGAGCGAGCCATATTGAACTTCGTGACCCAATTTCAAGTGGTAAGCCTAATAAAAGGTCAAGGTAGTGAAGTGCAACTGCTGAGCGATTGCTGATTGTTATTTCATAAAAAAGCAACTTCAAGCCGCGCGAAGCCAGCCAAAGCCAAAAGTACGAAAATTAGACAAATCTATGTACTACCCATCTTTTTCATGCTTACTGAAGCACCATGCGTTGCAGCTCCCATAGACGCCAGTGCCAGAGTTCCTTCTAGTGTACTTGAAGGAAAATCTATGTTCAAAACGTACGTCTGCAGTTATCTATCCATCAGAAATTATGCACCTAGGGTTTGCTTACTGGCCCTTTAAAAGCAGCAGTGTTTAGGAGTACCGAAATGTATAAATGAGATAATGTAGCCTCAGTGGAACATTCACTGTGGCTACAGTGAGTGTAGCCTCAGTGGAATATCTTGAGAGCTTTTCTTGCACAGTGTGTGTTTTTCTTCGCTGTGTCAGAGACTGGCAAGATAGTTTCGGACTGGGAACGCCAGAAATAAGTAAAAGTTTTGGACCGCGAAGGGTTATTCTGATGAGTAGGTTACCACTGCTGTTGTCCTTCCACTGAACAGATATACAGAGTCCTTTTGCTAAGCATATCAGCAGTGCAGTTCCCAAACCTGATAGCCTGCAAAGCGATTGCCTGTGGAGTGCATTTTCGGTTCTTTATTCTCAAATATGGTGCAGGTCGACGGCACGTGCCAAGCGTGAAGCCATGGTCCTTGCATACCTGGGACGAAAGGGCAGTTCCGACGGCTACCATCTACCCGACACACCTTACTGGCTGTGGAACACCACGCCACTCCGGTGCGTGCGTCTGAGTGAATGTGACGATTAGAGCACCTTTAGTTCGGCGGAATGGAGTGGTGCAAACGTAGGGCTCCATCTTGTCTCGTCATCTCTTCGTGCCCTCAATTTGCATTGCTCTGTTGCAGCAGAGCTTGTTATTCTCGAGGTTTGTTGTGTATCCTAGGTATACAATTATCATTAGCATGAAATATAGGCACAGAAAAAAAGCAAGAAATATGGAGAAAGAAAAGAAAGAGAGGGGGGAAATGAGGGAGAGAGAATAAATAGACACTGAAAAAAAAAAGATGTAAAGGAGAGCAACAATAGACATGTATACCAAAGCATAGCACTGGTTGTCAATGAGAGAGGGGAGAGAGTAAAAGCCTAGCCAACGTAGTACTATCGTTGTGTGGCTAAGTTTTGCGCAACTTCGGGGAAGGTGTGCCACTTTTCCGCATACACCTGACTTCTATTTCACACAATCCATCGAGGGCTCCTTGTGTATGGTGCTCGTGATGTGAAAAGGTGTGAATGAGATGACATAGAGCAGAAAACGCACAGCACTAAACTGAGTGTTACCTCAGATTCCTGTCTCAAGGTCTTTTAGGGACTACATCTTGGCTTCCACCGACCAGCTAATAGGGTGCTTATGTGAAATAGTTGACAGCCTAGTGAAATGCTCTGGAAAGACGTAGAGCCGCAGCCACGTCTGTGTAGAGCACGCAAGGAGCCGGTTTTCGCTCTGCGGGGCGAAACCTCGAGGCAGTTTCGGGCTCCGAGGTGCTGCATCAGAAGCATTTGAAGCCTAGCTTTCAGGCTGACCACATCAGAGACTGAAACTGCGTCGAAGGTTCGCCCCGTGAGGCGAAAACCGGCTTCTCGCGCACTCTACACAGATGTGGCCATTGCTGTACACAGCTGGTTACCGAGCTGAATAGATAGAGTAGTGCTGGAAGAAAGGTTGTCCAAGGTCTCAAGACCCTTTAAATAGACAGAGTTTCTATAACTGCGCGTTTTCATCCGCAGCCCATCCAATCTGTCAAGAACTAAAGGTGTTTGATTATCAGCACCTGAAAGCAGATGTTCACACAATTCATGATGAAATATTCAAACGGACTGAAATCCTCACTCTTGCTTGTATTCGAGCAGAGCAAGACGTAGCGTACTGATGTCTTCTCTGCATTGGTAGCGAGCAACTTCATTGCAAATGATTGCCGTGTCTTTGCAAATGCCGTGTCATTGCCGTGTCATTGCAAATGATTGCCGTGATTGCCGTGTCATTGCAAATGACTGCAAATGATTGCCGTGTCTGACCCTGGTTCTCTGTGTGTTGGCACAGGGTACGGTGGTGTGCGTTGGCAGTGCATGACTGCGATAACTCTGTCCCCAAGAAGGACCTGCTGTATGCGCTTCGCGGGAGTGTCGTGGCCCTTTGCGTCGTCCCAGCCGACAAGGTCAGTGAGCTGATATGACTGTCCAAACCAAATCGTTTCCAGACATCACTTCCAGATTGCCATTAGTACTGGCCAGTTGTGGGCACATGGTCCACTCTTGAATGACCTGAGCAAAACAAATGTAATCTCATTCATCCTGACCGTTAACAAAGCACCTGTGAATCTATTTTTGTGAAACCTACCTAAATATGGATGCATGTGACCACAAAGGTATACAGTTGAACACGGTTATATCAAAACCACATATATAGAATTTTCAGGTATATCGAACTCGCAAATAGTCCCCTTGAAATTCCTTTGTAAAAGTATAGAAATGTGCACATTTATATCAAACGGTATTTTTACCCGTCTTCGGAAATATAGAATGCCACGCCAGCTGGAAGGTGCGAGCTAGCACTTGCCCTCCCCTCCCCGCGATCTCTGCGCCAGCGCAGCTCCGCGGGTAAGTTGCAAGGTGCGCTTTCGGCACTTGCAGCAGTGCCCGGCGACCTTCGTGCGGCACCACGCCTCCGCCAAAACCCGAAACGCTTGAAAAAAGGTAAGGCAGAGAGGGTTCGGACTGTGCAATCTCCAACTTGCGAAACGGCTTTTTTTTTTTTTTCGTTTCTCTTTCTCTTTTTTATGCTTTCTCCACGTACGTGTCAGCTCGAAGAGCCGGAATAAAGGAGCCGACGTCTTCCTCCTTTCGCCTTTTCTTTATTTTTTTGTTGCTTTTTTGCGAGGTTTGATCAGTCAACCACAGCTCGCGCCTTTTTCTGTTGCTCACAGGTAGCCATCGCCTCGCGAGTGCTTTGTTGCTCTCGAGCTGTCGCGTCGAACTCGCTCACTGGATTCCGTGCCTAACAATTGCGTCCTCTGCGATCTCCGACAACAGCGCAGCTCTGGCCGATCGGCTCGTCCTCCGCCATATCCTGACGGCGTGAAGCTCTCGCTGAGTGGTACCCCGTCCTCGGACTCCGACCGTGTCGCCATCTTTCTCTATCTTCTGTATGTGGGTGTCATCATCTCTATCGCTATTCCTTTTAATCCCGCCTTATCCCCTTCCTTCGTTAGCCACTGTTCAGGCGTCGCACCAGATGCAGACAGTTACAGGGCTCACTTTTATCTTTTTCTCTCTTTTAAGAATAACTTCCTCCCTGTCATGTTGTCTACGTACCACCGCATGTGCAGCATTTCTCTTATGCATGCGTGGTGTGCAAAGCCGCTGCGGACTCTTTGAATTGTCGACTTCTCGTGTAGCTATGGCCAGCATCAAGAAGCGCAAAGTGCCGCCCTATCATCGTCAAGTTCTCAAGCTACAAATTGAAAGACTCCGTACTCGCTGCCTGCAAGAAAAGAATCACAATTAGCGAAGACTTTTGCCCAGCTACCCGATACGCTCGCAGAAAGCTACTTGAATTCGCAAAAAGCCAGCCTAACATCCCCGCATATAAAGTACGCTACAACAAACTTACGATTAACAAAACACAATTCGTCTACGACTCGGCAACAGATAGCGTTAAGGAGCTTGCGCCACACTACGTCGCTGCTAACGATCAGAGAACAGCATCGCCACGCGCAGCTATCAAGGAGCATGTGCCACACCACGCCACTGCTAACAATCGGGCCACAGCATCGCCACGCGCTGCTACATAGGTAGACACGAGGGGAAGTGGTCATCCACTATCACACGTCACAATCCTCTTCACTAACATTCGAAGCGTTATCAACAAGCGAGACCAAATAACTTCTGCTATAGATACTTATAACGCTGACATACTTGCTCTCACAGAAACCTGGCTACACACACAAATTCACGACCACGAACTTTTTCTGCCCGCGGATAAATTTTCTATTTTTCGATGCGACCTTACTGCCCGTAAAGGTGGTGGCGTCCTCTTGGCGATTACCAAAGATTTTCCTTCCCAGTGCATTCATATTAACAGCGAGTTAGAGATCACATGGGCACTAACCAAACTTAGTTTTCAAAAAATCATTATCGGCGTTTGTTACAGGCCACCAAATTTTTCCGGCAACTTCGCGAATGAACTACATGACGTAATTAATCTGGTCTCATCAAGATATCCCGATTTACCTCTGTTTTTGCTTGGCGATTTTAACCTGCCGAACATATCATGGACTTCAGATACACCGATTATGCAGCCTTACTCGACTATTAGCCAAGAGTTCCTAGACTTATGCACTGTCTTTTCCCTCACCCAACTTATTACTCAGCCAACATGATTAACCGAACTTGCTTTGAACACCCTAGATCTCGTACTAACGTCGAGGCCAGAGCTTGTCTCGGATATTACACTGTCACCTGGCTTAAGTGATCATTCATTAATATCATTCCAGCTAAATATTCAGCATCCCAAGAAGCCTAAAAAAATAAAAATGATTAAAAACTATCCAAAATCAAACTTTGAAGCCATTAACAGTGAACTTGGTTCATTTCTTAGTATTTTTTTGGAAAACTTTCACGAACGCAGTGTGCAAGAAAATTGGGACATGTATTCAGCTGCCGTTGCCAACTTGGCAAACAAACACATTCCTGTTCACAGCAATAACGATGACTCAAGATTCCCCATGGTTTAACGCACACCTAAAGCGCCTATCGAACAAAAAAAAGCGATTATACAGGTCTGCCAAGAAATGCGGGAATGAAGAACGCTGGAATGCCTACAAGCTCGCATCTAAAAATTATGTAACAGCACTAAAAAAGGCCAAAAATTATTACTTACAAAACGTGTTACCATCCATGCTAACGAACGATATTAAAAAATTCTGGCGCACAATAAACCCCAAACCCGACGACGCAATCACCCTAGAAGATGCTAGCGGAAATCAAATTCCTTTTGACTTATGTGCGAACGTTCTAAACGATGTTTTTTCCTCTCACTTTTCCGTTGATGCAAATGACGTTTTACCTAATGCAGAACCTTTTCCCCATCCCGTTATGCCTCCAATATGTATTGATTGTAGTGGTGTTGAAGCGATAATTAGGTCCTTAAGATTGTCTTCCATTCCTGGTTGTGACCAAATTGACCCGAAATTCTTAAAGAGTACGTGTGCTTCTTCATCGGTCATACTAACAATGATCTTTCAGCAGTCACTCGACCAAGGTTGCCTGCCCACTGAATGGAAGATCGGGAAGGTGACTCCATTTCACAAAGCTGGTAACCGCCATTCCCCACTTAATTACCGACCTATATCACTTACCAGTATACCGTGCAAAATATTAGAACACATCTTATTTTCGAACCTTGTAAAATTCCTCGAATCTAACTCATTCTTTACCCTAGCACAACATGGTTTCCGAAAAACATACTCCTGCGAGACCCAACTGGCATCTTTCACACATAAACTGAACGTTATACTGGATCACTCTTTTCAGGCCGACTGCATATTTTTGGATTTTTTTAAAGCATTCGACAAGGTTTCCCACAGTTTATTAATGCACAAATTACTTCAACTAAACCTTGACAGGAAATTACTAACTTGGATTGAATTCTTTCTTAACAATCGTTCTCAGTATGTTGCTGCTAACGGGGTGAATAGCCGCCACACCGCTGTTCAATCTGGAGTACCACAAGGGGTCAGTGCTTGGTCCTCTTCTTTTTCTTATTTATGTTAACGACTTACCTGCGTGTCTTTCCTCTCATGTGCACCTATTTGCTGATGACTGTGTAATATTCCGTGAATTAAGCTCCGATGCCGACGTAACTGCTCTTCAAACTGACCTTACTGCTGTCTCAATTTGGTGTCAAAAATGGTTAATGCAACTCAACGTCAACAAGTGCAAGGTTATGAGAGTGTCTAGAACAACTAATCCACCTCCTACCTACTCTCTCAAAGGTCTTGCATTGGATACCGTTTCTAGCTATAAATATCTAGGCTTACACATAACCAGCACTTTAAATTGGGCAATCCACACTGAACACATAATTGCAAAAGCAAACAGAATGCTTGGGTACCTACGTCGCGACTTTGCTAAAGCTCCTTCTTCCTTAAAACTCACCTTCTACAAAACATTGATTCGCCCTAAATTAGAATATGCTGCCTCGGTTCGGGATCCTGTAAATGCCAATCTAATACACTCAGTCGAAATGTTTCAAAATAATTCTACCCGCTTTATTCTTTCTAACTATAACCGCACCGCAAGCATATCGGCAATGAAATCTAGCTTGAATCTACCATCTTTAGCATCTCGCCGTCAGATTCTTCGTTTGTGTCTTTTTCACAAAATATATCACCATCCCCAATTACATAATGAACTTATTTCACTACCAGATTATGTATCACCTCGTCTAGATCATCGTCACAAGGTCGGAGTTCCATTATGCAGAACAAATGGCTGCCACACATCATTCCTACCACGCACGAGCATCGAATGGAATCACCTTCCCGCATCAATAGCAACTATCCAAGATCATGAACTGTTTAAAAACGCCATTAGCTAAGACTGTATGAGTAGGAGCCGCACCACTGTAATAACTGCATATCCATTGCTGCATTTCTGTATTCTTTTTTTTTTCTCCGTGTGCTAATACCACTCCCCTCTGTAATACCTCCCGGTCCTGAGGGTACCAATAAGTAAAAAATAAAATAATAAGACCCTTGACTTTGCGACGAAGTTGAAGGCTATTCAGTGGTGGGCGAGAAACGTTTGACCGTCGCAGACGCCTTTGGTATACCGTGAAGAACTCTGAGTACCTTGTTGAAAAACAAGGCAGATTTCAAAGCAAAGACGACAGAGCAGCAAACATCAGGAGCTTGTCATGTGCGCACTTCTGCCTACGGGAATGTAGAAAAGGCATTGCCTAGTTTTTGGAAGTGCACGTGAAGAACATTCCTGTGGATGGCCCGATGCTGATCGCCAAGGCCAAATGGTCTGCCTCTGTACTCAGTGAAACAACTTCGCTGACAACAGCGGGTGGCTTCACTGATTAAAGCAACACTACAACATGATTGATTGATTGATATGTGGGGTTTAACGTCCCAAAACCACTATATGATTATGAGAGACGCCGTAGTGGAGGGCTCCGGAAATTTCTACCACCTGGGGTTCTTTAACGTGCACCCAAATCTGAGCACACGGGCCTACAACATTTCCGCCTCCATCGGAAATGCAGCCGCCGCAGCCGGGATTTGAACCCGCGACCTGCGGGTCAACAGCCGAGTACCTTAGCCACTAGACCACCGCAACGGGGCAGCAACACTACAACATCGATGGCAAATTAATTTCTGGCAAAAGCGAAGCAGTCAGCAGCGAGGACATCCAGCAGTGGATGACGGAGAGGCCAGAAATAGCCACGAAGTTTTCTCCCGCAGAGATCTTCAATGCCTGGCAAGACGTGAAGATGGACACAGCGGTCAACTGCCTCCGCAAGGCAGGCTTCGAGACAGCAGAACTTGCGTAAACCGGTGAAGATGACGACGAGCGCATAGACGACGCGTTTCGCGAGTTGTGATGAGATCGAGACTAGCGTATTCAACATTTCAAAAACGAAGAAGCAGGCCAAGGTTAGCGATTTTTTTTTCACGCAAATAAATCATTATGTTGCGGTATGTGTGCTGAATGAGTTGTCTTTCTTCAGTGCACCAATTGTAGGTGATGATCTGCTACAGATGAGCTCTCGGGGCCTCTATTTTTTTATACCGAATTTTTCATATATCGAACTGATTGGCGACCCCTTCGAGTTCGATATATCCGTGTTCGACTGTACTTGCAATCAAAATGTAATGAAAGGAAGTATAATGAGTGCCTGCTGGCTGTATTTTTAAGCATTACAGTACACTCAGATTTCATTATAACCAATTTGCTTCTACACGAAAATAATTAATTTTATCCAAAAATTTGTTATAAAGGTATGTTCAGAACACTATCTATTGCAAGGCTAATATTCATTTACTTTGATATAACCGACATTTCGTTATATCTGGGCTTGTTATAATAAGTATTAGCGTATTTCTAGATTACTAACTGTGGTTTCAAATGCTTACTTTTATTGATGCTCATGCATTCACCTAGCCATCACATTGCACCTAAGAGTAACCACACTACGGAACAGTAAATCTGTTTTGCATTTTGACGACACTACAGCAACGGTGCTGTGTCTTCACTGCGTTCTCAAAATGGTTGCTCTATCGCAAGCGTCGGCATCCTGCGGCCCGTGGAGCACTTCTATGCAGCCCTTGGCACGATATCGGAATGCAGTCCCCCCCCCCCCTCCCTCCTTGTCACTTCTTATCTGAAAGCCGTAGGCCTATGCAAATATATTAATGTTTTTTCGAATATTCATACGAATATTACTGTACTCGAGTTCGCTTGGATTCGAATTTAAATGATCAAAAATTTTGAAACTCCTGTAAAGGTAGTTCCACTGCCGTAAAGCAGTGCTGAGCCGAGAAAGCACCTAAGTGTATATTAATTCACATAATTTTTTTTTTTTTTACAAAGATGGTTTCACTGCGGTGAAGGAGTGCTAAGCAGTGAAAACACATTCAGGGGAAACCTGCATTGCCGCGAAGCCATTTTTAAGGTTAAATTAAGATATTATCTTGGCGTAGATTCATTTATTAAGTCCAAAAGCTTGTTATACCAGTTTGTATGCTCTAAGTATGGTAAATTTGGAAAGTAAAATATTTTACAGGTAATCACTTGCAATATATCAAAAGTCAAATTCTGCTACTACTGAAAGTCGTTTTCACTTCTTCTGAACCAAAAAAAAAAAGGCACTTGCATTGGCCTTGTTTCAATTTTTAAAGATATTGTGCAAGTTAGTTATGCCATGACAAATATGCCTATCTTTTTCAATAAGGCATTATATATACCATAAAAATTCGATTAGAAATTATTCAACCAAAATCACTATTCACTTTGAATTAGCTCTGAATCTGATGTTCACTATTTACACATGCTTAGAAAGCTGACACGGCACATTTGCCTTCATGTAAGGTCATCGCTTGCAACTAATGTCTGTGAAGTGACACTTTGTGGCATATGTGTAGGAAATAAACATAATTTAATCCAGGTTTGGTACATCATTGCCAATTCACAAAATTTTTTCTACTTGCCTGTGAAGTCCCCTCCCTCTCAGATTTGCCGAGCACATTGGCCGTGTGGCCCACGCTGTATCGGCTTTGTGCAAACGTGGCCCTCCGCATCAAAAGATTTCCAACCGCTGCTCTATTGAAACAACTGCCACATCTAATGGAGGACACCTTTAGTGCAGTGCATCATCACTATGGCTATTTGTGTGAAGACAAGCACATGCTTGGAAGTGTGATTGAAATGTCTGCTGCTGCTTGCATCACATAGCTAATAGTGGTGAGTGCAGTTGATGTAAGGTCTTGGAACTTCACTGAGCCTTAGTTACACTTGTTCCTCCCCTCAACATTAATTCTTTCTACATGTATTACAGTGTAGATCACTTATAACGTAACCGCTTATAGCGCAGAACCGCTTACAATGCGGTCTTTTTCTACTCCCGTTTGCCCTCCCATAGAATCCCATGTATACGCATATTGCTTAATGTGCAGTCCCCCCAAAATGAAAGACTGGTTATAATGCGGTTGCGGGAAATTATTTGGGACAAACGCGGCAGCGAAGTAGCACTGAGTAGTGAATGCCGAGGTCGTTACGGAGGAGGAGGGTACATGGAGTGAACGAAGGGGGAAGGAAGGTAAAGAGTATGGAAAAAAAAAAAAAGACCGCGGGCACTGCGCGGGCTCGCTGAGTAAGGGAGGAGGACGGTTGCCTCGGTGACCTGATAAGCCTTTGCACCTGGTGCCGATGCGGCTACAGCGTGCTACCTCTCTTTGGCCGCGCGTCGCTCAATGGGGCAGGTGAGATCCCGTCCTTATCAACTACATGAGTTTCCTGTCGGGAAATACGTCGTTATCGCGCTTGTAACAAATACTGCAGTTTGATTCCTCGTTCGTATATTGAAAACCTTTTGTGGTTTTATGACGCGAGCTTCCACTTTCGCTGCCTGTGCGCTGTCGTACATAAGCGTGGTGAGTCGTCGACCATCGTTGCTGATCTCCTGGCAGCGAACGCGAACTCCGTATCTCGTACGCAGTTCTAGTTCACTGCTAGTGCGATCTTTTTGACGTCGAATCCTTATGTTTTGGACAAGCTTTCTGCGACAACATACCAAACGGCAAGCTAGGCCTAATCGGCGTTGGTTGCACTTCAATCGGTAGCGGTCGCATGAATCTAGGTTGCGGTTTGGTACCGAATCAATGAAACGTTTTGCGGTGGCTGCATGGAGGCGGAAAGGTTGTAGGCCCGTGTACTCAGATTTGGGTGCACGTTAAAAGGTGGTAGAAATTTCCGGAGCCCTCACTACGGTGTCTCTCCTATTCATATGGTGGTTTTGGAACATTAAACCTCGCAAATTAATCGATCAATTGCGGTGGCTGCACTTGATAGGAAGGGATACATATCGTTAAATGAAAACGAGGGCAGCAGGTGTAGCCCTCAAATAGTGGTTTGTGATCACTTGTGATGTCTTAAACTGGGTGCGCGCCCATGAGATCGAACGATTACCATCTTTCAACGCGTCAAACTCTGGACATGATTCGACATAGTTTCTGTGTAATGGGCATAATCGAGGTGGTCTGGTAGTCGGCGAATTTCCGTGATGGTGCTTTCATTTGTTAGACACTCTCCCCCTTTTGCGCTCATTTCATTGGCGACGCGTATCTTGAGACGTTAAATTCTTCTAACATTCAAAGATATAAACGTTAACAAGCACACATCGCTTGATTCGATTCTTGGACATGCGAAGCTGCATGCTCAACATGTTTTGCGCAAGTGAGGCCCTTGAAGAAGGTTGTTTCGGTTGTAGTGCGGGTATTCGTGACTCCTGCAACTTACGTTATAAGCCGTCTATACTGTATTAGGTCGTTCTGAGATCTCCAAAAAATAGTGTTGGCAAATAAACTGTTGAAAATATATTTCAAAACTCCAGTAACTGTGATTTGCAAAACTCGGTTTACCGTAGGCAGCAGCCGCGTCCTGGTTTCCTTAATACATTGAAAACTATTGTATAATCTTGAAGATCTCTCATTCGGTCAGTCCTATAGAGAACTGCTATGCTTAGTAAAGCACTGCTGGACAATGCTAACATACTTCCAAGCAACGCTACTTGCAAGCAGCTCTCATTTTTTGAAAATCCAAAATGAAAGTATACAAACTATTTAACAATTATGATTGACCCATTTTCTCGCCTATAACAGCTGCTTCCAGTAAATGTGTAGCTGCTAATGTCATCCCTACATTTTTTCCTTTCCACACGCTTCAACAAGATGCTGGAGACGGAGAACCCTTCTTACCCCAAGTTCATCAACAGCTGTGGCCCGTACGAGTGCCTTGGATATGGTGAGTCCCTCTTGGCTCACAGCACGAAAAACAAATTAACTTGTAAGAAGGGGTAGCTCTTCATTAAACAAAACGTGTTCCTTGGTGTTTATTTCCTAATGATGACGACCGCTGACTGTAGCGTTGCTGAGTGATTTTGCCGCCACACCTCTAGAAGGTACTATAATGCTCATTTTGGGAGCAGGAACATGGTTTCAGGTGACGGATTAATAATAGATTTAGGCCGGCAGGTTCAGTTCAGTTTCACTTTCTGTAAGTAGATAACCCCTCTCTTTTTTTCTTTACCAAATTTTTACAGGGTGCCCAGGTGTTGTTTCAGCAGTAAATTATTATTTTCAGGGGAAGGTGACATTTGTTTGCAGTTCTGGCCTTTCAGGTCATGCACACTGTTTGTTGGAAGTATGCAAGCTGTGTTTCATGCAACTGTCAGAGCGGCTGCATCCTTTTTACGCGAGTTTCTTTGGTGTGTTGTAAGTTCCAATATTCTAGTGGGAAAAAAAGAAAGCTTTTGTAGTGAAGGTGCCGAGGTCCGAAGCTGCAGCAAGAAATGTGGCACATAGCTAAACAACATGGTGAAATCACTGGTGCTGCCTGTATACTTTGGACAAAAAGTGTTCTGTTCTATACTGAGCGTCTTCCAGCTTACATGTATTTTGTACGTGTAAGTTGGAAGACGCTCGGTATGGAACAGTATGTATAAAAGTGTATTGTCAGATTTAAGTCTTGTTTAACGTGTCTGGGGGTCGGCTGCCGCCACCCTGTCTGGTGCCACCATTCGAAATGGCAGTCTCAATTTTTGTTCTTCAGTTCTCAGTCACTTGTTGCGTTATTTATATGCTGCAGCTGTAGAGTGCTGATGGCCATATCACTTTAAGTCTGGCTGTTAAAGATTATATTCGCATTAGTCTATGTGTTGGAGTCAAAATCAAGCTGATATGGCAGCGGTAAAATGTCATTCTTGTGTAGTGATTGGTCTAGTGCGAAATCCTGCTCTAAATTTAGCTCCGCTACTATGAAACCTGAGAAAATGCCTAGCACGAGTACTCGGCGATTACCGTTCGTGTAGTTCTCACTGCTCCGTTTACCAAACCGTCGATGATGTCAAAACCGTCGATGATGTCATTGTTGCCCTGGCATCAGTTCTATATTGTCAGGGAGATTCACAACCTTAGTGTGCGACATGCATGGTACTTTCTTCTCAGTTTTACCGACTTTCTGTTTATTACAGCAGTTGAGATATGTGTCATCTGCAGTGAGTTTTGTCAGGTTGTTTACCCCTTCTGATGCTGTTCTGGCAAAAATCCTGATAGGAGAAGCAATCACTTGCTCAGCGAGGCAGTGATGCCCATGGGCGTCCACAGGATTTTTCTCTTGGGGGTGCAACCCCTCAAGAGGTGTGTTGCACCCCCCCCCCCCCCAAGTGGGGGAAGGTGTGGCTGGTGGGGGAGTGCTCATGTAGCTTTAGGGGGGCAAGTGCCCCCTTGCCAATCCTCCCAATGCCCATGGTGGCGGAAGGATTGTTATGTGGCATGGGGATTGTTATGCGGCACTAAAGCCAGCCACATTTCTTTTAAATGTCTGTGGCAATTTTAAATTAATATTTGAAATTACTTCTTAATTGTTTATTGTAATTATGTTGCTTTAGCTAGCCTTGTTTTAGACCTGTATTGACTGCTTGATTTTGAGTATGATCACGCCACATGAGATGTATTGATGGACATGTGCTACGCACTTAAAACAAAGTGTGGGGGTTACTTAGCCCTAAGTTGTGTTTCAATTCGTTGCGCACTGTGCATTGGAAGAATGGGGCAATTGCTGAGTGTATATTATGCAGTGAGAAACGGACCCAGAAATGGCACAAGATAACAACATCGAGAACAGGCATCGTATTTGGTGTTTATTTTCAAATGTGTAAGCACTTCTCTGCTGAATTTACGAAAAAACGCTCTGTCGAGTCATCCATACTTAACTCAAGATGATCATTGCCAAAAATGATCATTGTTAAATGGAAACATTTGCAGTGATCCAGTTTCAGTTGCTGAAGCTTTTAACAATTTCTTTAACAGTACATATACTAGCCCGACGGACATGGCCTCGATAAGTCAAGAACATGGTAGCCATTGTGAAGATGACATTGTTATCTCTAAGGAAGGTATAATTGAATTGCTTTTAATATTAGATGTCAAGAAGTCTTCAGGGCCTGATAAAATACCGAACGAGTTTTTAAAGCGCTATTGCGAATGAGTTGCATTATTTTTAGTCAAAATTTTTGCCTCCTCATTGGAAACTGGTGTTATACCGAGTGATTGGCTGCTAGCAAGGGTTGTGCCTGTGCCCAAAATTGGAGACAAGCTGATGGTTGAAAACTATCGCCCCATTTCCATTACATGTACAGTGTGTAAACTTTTAGAGCATATAATTGGTAAACATCTTGTTGCGTACTTTGAAAATAACAACCTCTTTTACAACAAACAACATGGTTTTCGCCGACGCCTTTCAACTGTGACACAGTTATTTGAAACCATTCATCACTTGCTGCAGCTATGAATTCGAAAGAACAAATAGATGTTATTTCATTAGATTTATAAGGCTTTCGACAGGGAATGTCATGCGAAACTTCTAAATAAATTACATGGTTACGGTGTTAATTTACAAATAATTAGGTGGATTCAAGCTTACCTGACGAATCGTCAACATTTTGTGGAAATAGCCGGCGAACATTCATCTTTTTTGCCCATTGCTTCTGGTGTGCCGCAAGGGTCGGTTTTAGGCCCAATTTTGTTTCTGCTGTACATTAATGACATTGCAAGTGGTGTACATCCCAACATTGAAGTGCGATTGTTTGCCGACGATTGTCTTTTGTTTACACGCGTCAAGACTGTCTCTGACCAAACTTGTTTAAATGATGCCTTAAACATTATTCACAATTGGTGTGCAAAATGGGATATGGAAATCAACCATAAAAAGTCTGCCTGCATGACAGTCTCAAACAAGAAAACGCCTTTAATGTTTGACTATACAGTGAATGCTAACCAAATCAAAAGATCCACCCAAATTAAATATCTTGGTATGACAATTACAGATACACTAAATTGGAATGCACATATTGACAATATCTGCGGATCAGCGCAGCGGAAACTTGGACTACTGAGACGTAAATTAAGAGGTGCTCCTCCTGAGGTTAAAGTTCAGGCGTACAAAACTATTGTTCGGCCTACCTTAGAATACGCTAGTATGATCTGGGACCCGCATCACCAATATCAAATAGATAAACTGGAGCGTGTTCAGACGCTAGCAGCGCTATTTATTTTTTCCATTTATGAGAGGAGGCAGTCAATAACAACCCTGCTCACTGAGGTTAAACTTCCTCAACTTGCCATTCGCCGAAAAATCACTCGGCTAAAGTTTTTATATCAGCTTTACAACAATAAGCTCAATTTAAACCCTTCTCTCTATTTGCGTCCCCCAGGAAGAGTCTCATCAAGAACCAATCACCCACACGTAATTATGCCCTATACACCGAGAATTGACACATTTAAAAACACTTTTCTTGTCAGAACGATTGTCGACTGGAACTGTCTTGCCGCCGATTTCTTTGAGAATGTAGACACAGTTGAATCTTTTGTTGGTAAATTAGAATTGTCATTGTATGATGTAGTTCCCACTCTGTAACAGCCCGACAGGGCTTACAGTATTGTGAATAAACAAAATAAATAAAAAAGTTATTGAATAAATTGAAAAATTGGGGAAACCTTAAGCTTCGCCCTTAAGAGTTGAATGTGATAGCAATATCCTGTCCCTAGTGCAAACTTCAAACCTTTAGTGCAAGAAATCTTTTCGAACTTGCTATATATGCACCCACAAGGTGGCCTTAAGGGAAAAGGTGCAGTAACATGTGTGCCCTTTGTAGTGAGTGACCAGCTTTAAACCACAAAGTCATTATCATAATCACATGTTCTGACACCTGGTGGCAATGCACGTTTGTACAATGCATCATTACAGCATTATTTCATGTTGTATTGTGAAGAATGTATACAGGACGCATGTGTTTGTAAAGCATGAACATTACCTTCTCTGCATTTCCAAGCAGAGGAGGTTATTTTCACTGTATTTACAAGCAAATGCGTGGCTGTGTGGTAAAACACACGCTTGCTATGCAAGTAACTCAAGTTCGATCCTCACTATAGACCTAGAATTTGTTATTGTTTATTTTATTGGCATTTTTCTCGATTTTTCGGTCACGCACAAGATAATGATTTTTTGCTCACAAAGAACAATGCGTACACCTACACTGGAATTTAAGTAAAACGAGCTCTTTGGCGCTCTCGCGGTAAAACAAATTTTTTTTTTTTTGGCCTGACTAGTTTCAAACCTGGGTCTCCAAGCAGTAAAGGCAAGTGTACTAACCACGGGGCTACACACCCTGTGGCATTTCTGTAGATCTAAAGCATATGAACATGTTGAACCGGCGGTGCAAAGCAAATTTTAGAAAAATAACACTTTATATGAAGGCTTCATTGAGTTAGGTGGTGGTGCAGTAGAAGCCTTATCTTGGGAAAATTTGAACTTTGAGAATTCATGGGAACACAACGGGAAAATTCGAACGTTGGGAGAATTCGATTTCGAGCTCGCGTTTTGGTGGTCGTTGGGATCATAGTATACACGCCAATGCTGGCCAAGAGCAGTGTTCTGGGGAAGGTCGCGACCCGAGTTAGAGAGCTCTATGCTTATGCACACTTGGACAGCTTCCAATGCAGATTCTGCGTGGGTTTCTTTTTTTTCATAGACTCAACTAGGTAATTGTGCGTGTATGTTTATGAAAGCAATTTACATTATGCTGACCAATCACGACATCGTTCTCTGCTGACGTCGATTTTGGAGACGGTTGTGATTCTGATTCAGCCGTCTCGCTCCTTCCCTCCTGTGGCATAAATTTTCCGCAAGTTTCCAGTAGCTCATACTGCAAGAGCCAGGGAACATTCCTTCTACCTGGGCAATTATTAGGGACGTTGGCGGGGCGCTTCAACCCGAAAATCGAAAACGCAACGCGGGCGATGATATAAGAGTCGATGTAGCATGACCCACGTGACGCATAATTCAAGTTTTGCCACATGTGGCGTCTCATTGTTTCATTCAATGCCGCGGGCATTTGAATTCTGCCGATAGTCTCCTTGAGAACAAATAGTGCATATATAGTCATTGTCTGAGGCAGCGCGCTACGGATCGAGGGTTGCAGGTTTCGATTCCTCGATCATGCACTTCAAAAAATCTCTCGTAAGAATTATTCTTATTTTTGACTTTTATGTGTATATACATGTATATACTAGGCTTGTGCGAATATTTGAACGCTTCAAATATTCGAGCGAATAGTTGAGTATTCGAATTCGCTTCGATTTGAATTTAAATTATCGATTATTTTCGAAGTTTTCGCAATAAACAAATAAATGTATTATTTTGTTTGTAAAGGTGGTTTCACTGCAATGTAGGGGTGCTCAGACGTGAAAGCATCTGTCCAGGGAAAATTTGCTTTGCCGCGAAGCATTTTCTTTTAATTTAAAGGGGCCCTGCAACACTTACTGAGCGTGTTCAGGAAACGCTGCCGATCGGTAGTTGAGGCTATCGAGAACAGGCAAAACAAATATTATAGTGCAGCACGCTGCCTGTAATTTACAATAAATTTTCAAAGCTACTTTCCTCTGTAATGGACACTACAAGCTCAAAAATCACTTGTCACAGCCAAAAATGAATATACAACTTTGGTCACAGCCATTGGCTGATTTGAGCATGGTGCGCTCATTGTTACCTGGGCGGCCGCGAGAGGCCGCCGCTTGTTCACAAGTATGTGCGCAACCGCACTGAAAAGCCCCGTATTCGAAGAAAAAAAAAGACGTGCTCAAGGTCACGAGGTGCATGTGACGTATTTTTTTTTCGCTGTGCCATTCCTCCCTGCTTAGCTTCCAGCTATTTTGTCTGGACGAGAAAAGACAATACAATTGTAGCTTGGGACAAATTTTTGAAACTCTGCTCATACTGGACTGATTCTGGAAACTTTGTGGCGGTAAGTTTGTGAGGCAACAAGCATGCTTACTGGCTCCATGGCTACATGAAAAAGTGTTGCAGGGTCCTTTTAAAAAGAACATGTTACCCTCAAATCAATTCATTTTATTAAGCTTGTTATGACAGCTTATATGCTCAAAGTATAATAAATTTTAAAACGTTAAGTATCTTACAGTTTATCACTTGCATCCTACCGAAACTACTACTCAAAGTTGTTTCGACTTCCTTTGAACGAAAAAAAAAAATGGCATTTGCATAGAGCCCCTATTTCAATTCAAAAGAAGTAATGTGTAGGTTAGTTAGGTCATGAAAAATATTCCTTTTTTTTTATATGTCATACATACCACTCTTATTCGATTTGAAATGATTTGTTCAAAATCACTACTCTCTTTGAATTCACTTAGAGCCTAAAATTCACTATTCGCACAAGCCTGGCATATACGTATATACATGCATATGACCATGTTTGCCTAATGGTTGGGACACAATCATCTTGAGCACAGTATGGTTTCAATTTCTGGCCCCTGTGGTCTCATCCTAATGCATACAGGTATCACACATGACGACATCATACACTCGTGTCTTTTTTAAACTCTTGAAGAGCTAGAGGTGGCAGTTGCTCATATTATTCCCGAATGTAATTGGTAAGACATTGCCTGTAGTGACGGCTACGTTGCTAAGCTGAGCATTCACCAACGCAGCTCTTGTGCTAGGTTGTTGCCTTAAAGGATTACCTGGCGGGGAAAGTGAGAAAAGGTCAAACTCTCACGCAAGGAGTAATTCCTAAAGGAAAGAAAACAATGGGCTAATGGCATCTTCTATTGCAGGCCTCGTGCGTGCTATTGATCCGTCGGAGAAACTCTTCTACATCACCACACCTGAGCCATCCGATCGGCTGTCCCAGGTCAACGCCCTCGTTCGCGGTGACATTCATTTGCCTGAGTCCTTGCTCACTGCTCAGGTACAACCACATTCCTCAAATATGCGTGCTCTCTCGCTCTTTTTTTCGACATTATTATGCAGTCCCAAGGCTTGGGGGGGGGGGGGGGGGGAGGCATGAGTTACTGGAAAATGACGCATACTAATAGGTGCTTAAATGGCATACCTTCGAGGGTGGCATTGTGAGAAAAAAGTGAGGCCTTCCTTAAGCGGCATACCTCACCAGCAGTAATTTAAAATTAGTGGCTTAGTTTTGTTTCGGGCATTTAGTATACAGGGTGCCCCAGCTATCTTTAGCCAGTGTTTAAAAATGTGCCGACACATGCAATTACGACGTGACCAAATGCATGTTGCTGACCGTTGCCTGAACTAAATCAGACTGTTTTTCGTGTTCTAAAATATTGTTTTATTATATCTGTCTAATTAACTAACTGTTGAAGGAACGAAGATGGATAATAAACTCAATGAGAAAGTTGTAGATCGCTTTGCAAAACATCTGATTAGACAGTTTAGAAGTTTATCAAGTGTTAGTGTTTTTCTGCCAATTACAAATGCCCGCCAAATACAAGAAAATACCATGTGGCAAACACGGTCGTGCGCCATTGCGCACAATGATTCTAGTGCTCCTTAATGTTCCGCATACGAACGACCATAGCATTTGCCTGATTGTGTTGTCTCGACAGAGTCGCAACAATGGTGGTGGCTTTGCGATGAACACGTTTTGCTATCGGCCAGAAGAATAGTAAGCGCTGTCACTGCTTATCGCTGTCATAAACGGGTGTGAGTGAAGCATATCATTACTAGGCGGAACGTTAGAGAGCACCAGAATCACGGCACGGGTAGGCGTGCCAGTGGGTTTGTCACGTGGTATTTTTTGTATTTCGTGGGCATTTGTAGTTAGCAGGAAAACACTAATAGTTAACAGATATAAAGTTCGAAACTGTTTGATTGGACGTTTTTCAAGTCGATTTACAACTTTCTCATTGAATTTTTTTATCCCTCTTCGTTCCTTCAAATGTTAGTTAATCAAACAGATCTAATTCAACAATATTTAAGAACACAAGAAATAATCTGACTCAGTCCAGGCAACGGTCAGCAACACGCATTTGGTCACGTCGTAATTGCATGTGTCGGCATATTTTTAAACACAGGCTAAAGATAGCAGGGGCACCCTGTATAGATGGTTCTTCAATGAACCTTCTGCGAGCTTCCAAATCATGATACCAATGTGGCATCTGTTCTGTGTGCCTCATTTTGTAAGCTCAGTACACCTGGCTCCCCTCATCCGATCACCCCCAGCTGTATGGAACACCCACCCTTGGAGTAAATAGGAAACTTGTGCGTCCATGGGTGTAGATATTTTCACACTTGTGCTGTGATGTTGCCTGTCGTTACCAGAGCTTTTTCTAGGACAGTAATAAAATTTTAAAACGGTACTGATAGTCCTTATGGCAAGTGATATATTAGAATATCAAAATTTCTTGTACAGTTTTATACGGAGTAATCTTTTACTTTCCATGATGGGGTATATTTATTGACTTTATGATGGTTTCGACAACTGAGAAAAAAAGAAAACAACAATCCCTTCGAGTAATTGTCTTGTTGCATAAAAAGGGCTTCAAAATTTTGTCTTGAAGCCACGAGGTTGTGCACTATGTGGTTTATTGGCCAGCTGTTTGCTCCTTTGCCCACATTATACGTGATGCCAGCGATTTAAAGGAAGATCTCGCCGCCATGGTTGTGAAAGTGCCAGCGAACACACCCATGGTCGATGCTCCCAGCGTTAAACGTGTGCACAAATAACCTGAAATCAAGTGGCCAGAAAAATGGTGCCTTCATTGCTTAATTGGCAAAGTACAGAAACATTCTGTCAATAATGGGCACTGGATTGCATGGGGAGTTTGGCTTCACTTTCTAGCTGTGGCGAGCAATCTCTTTATCCACTTTTGTTTTCCCATTTATTTTTACTACGTATTTTCATAATACTTACATAAGCTCTTTCTGGCCTGTCTCTTGCTTTGTTTTCTGTAATTTGGTGTAATCCTAAAAACTGAGCCTCAAGGTTCCTCTTGTCTTGCTCAATGAGTAACTGGAAAATATTTTAATGAATAACGTAATAAAGTCTGGGGCCACAAGTTTTAATGCTTTGCTGGTTAATAATTTGTATGGAGTCCTTGGAATGCGATTTTTTTCGTACCGCCGGCATTACAGTGTGTCTGCACTTATCCCCCTTTGATTCCCACAAATGCGGACACAGACTGCAACTGCAAAAGGTTGCTGAACTTCTTGCCGGGCTGGTTAGTGCATAACATTCAGGAAGAAGTTTAGTGGCCTAGGCACTTGCCAGAGGAAAGACAAAGCACGAGGAAAAGATGCTATTTTCTTGTGCTTCCTCTGTCTTCTGGTGGCGCTTTGACTTCCAAATTTTTTCCCCAAAGGTCGCTGATCAGTGGGCATGACGAAGTATGTTTAGGTGCTGAAACAGAAATGAAATAGCATGAACCAAGTTGGTGAATGCAGCTCATCTCCAACAAGCAAAGCAATACACACATTGTCCTCGACAAGATCACTTGTCTCTCCTAATGTCGGAAAAAAACAGCTGTTAGTTTGAGTGAAGTTCTGATGTGGTTGCCAGAAGGGTCATTCTGTTTTCTATTTATACCTCTCTGTCTGTCTTTTTGCGTTGGTGTGGAGTACTTAGCTTTAACATTCGATTCATCTTCTCCACCCCAACCAGGCACAGCTGTTGCAGTGCGCTTGGGCACCGTACCTTGCCAAAGCGTCGTCTGAGCCAGACCCCTGCAGTGATGGGGAAGAGCAGAATGATGATTTTCGCTCTTAAAACTGTTTTGTCATTTCTTTTTCTTCTCTCAATAAAGAATGGAGGATAGTCTGTGAATTTTTACGTAACTTTGGCTCTGTGTGTCGATTTTATCAAATGTGGTTGTTGAAGGTGAACTTGGAGACATTGCAAGCAGGTGGGATTTTGACTTTTCAAGTCTCCTTGGTATGGAAGACATCAGGACGTCTATGCAAGGGAAGTGAACTTGTTCCATCGAGCACTTGTAGTGTGAGGCATTGGTGCTCAGATGGCCCAGAAGTGTGTAATGCTGGGCCGCCTGAGCTGCGCCATGAGGGTCTTTCCCGTGAAGTGTTTCCTTCCTTCTATCTTGTGCGATCATATACTTCTATATTTAGATGGCCCAGAGTTTGCTGGAGAGATCAACATTATCACAAATGTTTGTAACACGGGGTCAATCCGCGTGACATGCAATGAAATTTCAAGGTGTCCTGCTGCTCTAAAAAAAGTCATCACACCCTTCCGTACCCTGTTACCTTGTGTGTGTGAATGACCAGAACTGCATGATAACAAATCGAATCATGACATGTGCAGTTCATTCTTTCAGTGAAATAGTTGGTATAGCAACAAGTAAGTTCGATATTTAAAAATGCCAACTTTGCCCAGTTAAATGTAACGATAAACCAGTTGTGCAATAATTTATGTCCCCGAAAGTCTGGTATCGGACATAAAGTATATCAACTTGTGTATTGCTGACCATTCCTATTTAGTAGGGCAGATCGCCTGGCTAAGCACTGATGATGCATAATCAGTTATCGAAAATTGTGTTGTGAACTGTTTATTTACAATACTCTATTTTTTTAAATAACGCTTTAAAATGTGTAATACAACTGTAGAATCATGTGAATGTTATAAATATCAGAATGCAATAATTGTTTCAACTGTAAAAACTATTTGTTGTTTAAAAGATGCTTGATCTTGACTTGAGCATTGCTATTCACATACCTGTACGGATAGGTGAACCCCTGAAATATTTGACGATTGTGTTCTGACGTGACTTGAAAATTTTTATAAGCCAAGTGTTGCGTGTGAGAATACTAATGTCTGGGTCTGTTTGATTCGCCTGCGCCATGATACACCTAAACCACTTCATGAGGTGTTGCGCCCTACCGCTTGCTTCAGTATTGCAGCTGTGGCATCTTCTGGACTACGCTGTTAGTTTCTAACAGCTGCTGGTCTCTCACAATTTGGATGTTGCAAAATAGTGACTGTGTGTGCACAAGCTAGGTTATTTTCCACTTCCGCAAACAGCCTCAACCGCAGCATACCAGACAAATGTTTTTTTTTTTCTAAGACTCGTACGACCCTGTCATTCCTATACTTGGAGAGCTTGCTTTGAAGCATGATATTTCCGCAGCAATGTTTTGAAAGGCCTCTGTCGTGGTTGCGCGCCTTTCACTGAAATGAGGAGGTGTAAACGCGCTTATAGCGAGAAAAGCTGTCGGGGAAATGAGAGTTGTCGTGTAGACAATATTCTTGCGGGAAAACCAACCTACAGTTGCTGCAAAGTGGGCGCTGGGGTGCTCACTGTTCTGAAAGGCTCAGAAAAAATGTGTATGCAAATGTAATGTATATATTGTAACGGGCTAGTAAGAAGGAAGAGAAGAGAAGGAGAAAAAGACGAAGAGTCTTGGCAAAATCATACCAAGCATTAGATCTTCATTATTGCGAATATCACAAAGAGAGGAAGAGGTGGTGAGGTCTGTAACTAGTGCTGCTGTTGAGCTGCATGAGGCTTCATCGAAGAGAGCTATCTTCATCCCGCGAGGAAGCACCACCGTTACGGCAGAACAGTCCAGCGCCCACAATGTTGCTACTCCTTTTGTCATGCACACAATAGAACAGGGTACAATGGCTAGCCTGCCGAACTTTGGCATGATGCGCCTTGTCTTTAATTGCTCAAAAGTGCGGCGATGGCGAATGACATTGGCGACAGATGTCATGGTGTCTTTCGCGATGAGGAAACTGTAAACATTCTGGGCGATTCCTTTTAGAATGTGCCCGACTTTGTCTTCCTCAGACATTCTGGAGTCAATGATCCTACATAGCTTTATTACGTCTTCAATGTAAGTCGTGTATGTTTCACCTGGCACTTAAGCGCGTTGCATTAGCGTCTGTTCTGCTCTTTTCTTTTTCGTTGTTGGGTTGCCGAAACGCTCTTTAATCTCAAAAACAGATCTGTCCCACGTCGTTAGCGTTTCCTCCCAATTCTCATACCACATTAATGCAGTATCCGTCAGTAAGAACGCGACGTACAAAAGCTGAGAAGCGGCATCCCATTTGTTGGTGGCGCTCACCCGTTTGTAATGGATGAGCCAAGCCTTGACGTCTTCATCTGGTCTGCCGGCGAAAGACGAGCATCTCTCAGCTGTGGAGCCGAACTGGTCGGCGCAGAAGTCGAGAGGGGTCGGTGTTCATCTGCGTTGTGGGACATGTCCAGCCCAGATGGATTCAGTGGAAGTCCAGCAAGGCGACGGCTCCGTCGAAGAACTTGTGGTTCAGCCTCCATCGTTGGGTGTCGATTACCCAGCACCTCCACCACAACTGTTACAGCGAGCTGTGATGAAATGGCTTTATTTACAAGAAGTGAGCGATGGTTGTTCGCGGCAGCGCACTGCGATCTTGCCAAGACTCTTCGTCTTTTTCTCCTTCTCCTCTCTGCCTTTTTACTAGCTCGTTACAATATATATGCACTAACGTCGCTGTATATAGTTACTGTACATGACCCCTAAAAAAAGCCATACGTGACCGTGCTCAAGATACTATATATACAAAGCAGGCCTAGCCACCTGCAACCGTCACACGTTCCACGTGTGACGGTTGACACATTGATGGTAGGGACGCTGTGTCAAACTAAGCAGTGCTGATATCTGCGTATCTAATCTTGCGCACGACCACTGATAAGCTCCACTGAAACCAAGTTATCGACGGCAAGCCTCCCGCGATTGTTTTTCAGCCGCCAAACATCCATGGCGCCGGCGATGGTCGGCAACTGAAGTTCCGGTTTAATGTCAGTCATTTGTTTCAGAGACCCACTGTTGGGGATTAGTCAGCACTGTATTATAATGTGTCATTAATATAAAAAGGAAAAAAGAGTCAGTAAAAATCGAAGCAGAAGGGGGAAAGAAGAAAATAAAAGCTAATTTAAGAATTAACGACATCTTCCCAAGGGGAACCCTGATGGCATGTGAAATTTAACTTGTAAAGCTGCAAATGATCATGCCTCATTAGTCGTGCAAGGTTGAAATCACAATAAAAACCCGAGCAGGTGCTCTTCCTTACGGTGAACTAAGGTTAATTCAAGATTTGGAGTGGGTCCTGCTTATCGAGCAAAAGTAAACATGCAATGTAATTAAGAGCCACTAGGAATCAAAAAAATGCACACCCGTGCTTCTAATGGAATGCTTTATTGAATGCGCATGTATTCATTGTTTTTATTAGCTGCAATGAAAAAATTTTATTCGATGATTTCACGCGGCCTGTTATTTCACGTGTTTAGTCCATCACTTATTTGATGTGCAACGGTGTACCACAACCACGCAATCGCAGTATATGTTACAGGGAATGACAGCACATGCAAAATAAAATAATTAAATAAAATATTAAAAGAAAAACATGTATCGGCTACTTAAAGCAATGCCGCGCACCATTGCTGCACCGAACTTGCCAGAAATATATTAAGCGGGCTTGTCCACAGCAAACCACTTGTTGCGAAGAAACCATGCGCTGCGCTAGTGGTAGAGTTTTTATTAAAAAAAATAATAAGATTTTGTACATTTCCTTCATTAGGTAGTCATTTGAAAACGTGCAAACTTAAGTGCCGTTTCTTAGGGCAGCTTGGTGGGGCATCAACTCCGCTCTGGGTTTTATGTGCCAAAACCACGATATCTTTTGGAGAGGGGGGGGGGGAACTCCGCGAAATGTCGACCACTTTGATGCACGTTAACGATCGAACACAAAAGTAGAGATATGACATTTAGTCTCCATCGAAATGAAATCGTCGCGACCGGGCACCAGGGACTCCTGCACCGCGGTGAGACCAGGCCCTGCCTGTGGGATAATAATTAATCGGCGTTCAATATTTCCACACGTGGGAACTAATTGACATGTATTACACAAAAAATATCACCGAGATGTCTCGACAAACCAACATGATTAGTCGGTTGTCGATGCACTAATAGGCAACATGAATTCTATATCCGCGCTTCACGACCCTGTCACAGGACATGTCTTTTGTACTCACGGCCCTCCTTCGTTCTCCTCAGGCGCTCCTTCGGCTGGATGCTCCTCACTCCACCGGGGCAGCTCTTACCATTTTTGGTGTGTTCAGAGCTGGGAAAGCACTCGCCTGTTGGGCCGGTTTATCTGTCTACGGGAAGAGTGGATCACTCTTGGGGGAAACACCTCATTACTATTCAAGCCGGTGTGAATACAACATTGCTTCACCTTTACGATGGAAATCTGCCTTATATGTGATGCCAAATATTCATGTCTGCATGGGAAAGAATACTTCTCTAGATTTTATGATATACGCAAGTAGCGATAAGCTCTTGAACACTATTGAAGCGCTTTCCCAATATTTGAGCCGATCCTGTGCATTAGCGGAATCTATTCTCATTGTTATGCTTGCACGGCTGTTCTTTTCTGTCCTTTTATTTATTTGTTTATTTTATGAGAGAGTTGTAGGCCCGTGTGCTCAGATTTGGGTGCACGTTAAAGAACCCCAGGTGGTCGAAATTTCCGGAGCCCTCCACTACGGCGTCTCTCATAATCATATGGTGGTTTTGGGACGTTAAACCCCACATATCAATCAATTATTTTATGAGAGAGGGTGGAGAGGACGGTCCCGTATTACCTCAGAGGGGCGGTGCTAGGATTTCCCTCTCGGTGAGACGAGGTTGAAGGAGCCAGGTGGGTACGTCGTGAAGTCTCATCGTAAACGAGAGGAGAGTTGATTGCACATAAAAATGTTTCCCCAGAAATAAGTTTACCGTATTTAACTCAACTACGTATGCAAGGATTTCTGTTCACCACTTTCATCCATTTTCAA